ATCGTTTGTGCAATTAAAATACTACGTCAAACGAATGCCACCGCGACTTATTCGAGTCCTTACAAAAGTCAGACAATTGTCTGTATAAACATCAAGAACGAACGAACGAGCGAATCAACATCAGCAGTACCTTGAATTTTGTCGTTGCTTCTGAAGATATTTAGATGTCGTCATGTCCAGCTGATCCCACATCGGTCCGGCTAAGTTCACGCACAGAACCAGAAGAGTCAGAGTGAGCAGACACAGGAGCACCCACCACAACAATTTGACTTTTCCTGTTTCCGCCATTTTGAATTCTCAATCTTTTTGATCTTTTTCGTCATGACCAGACATACCGTGGTAGGCCATCCTGTACAATTGGTAAGTTGGTTGCCTAAGGCTGAATTGAAGAACAACAGGGTTAGGTGAGCTGTGTTCGGGGCGTGTTCGCACGGTGTCAGTTCGTACAGTGTCTAAAGTAATGATTCAAGCCTGACCGAATTTATGCCACGCGTACCTTTCTATACGCATTGAATCGAATTTAACTTAAATTTCAGTCAAACTTTACCCCCGAACATGCCCTTAACACCACTGACCTATTCCCGAAGACCAGCCAACCACGGTCGAACCTCCCGTCCACACCCGAATGTTTTAAGAATTTTGAAACATTTGTATTGGCTGAAGTAGCCTAAAAGTAGCCGACCTCGCCAAACTCCAGCCAACAACAGTCGACCTTATGATAACAGTTAAACTTTACTTAACCAACACGAAGTAAATTGGGACTTACCCCAACAGTCGACGTCCTTGGTACAACGTTAGGTCATAGGCAGTAGCTTTAGGCCCGGGAGGTTTTCAAGTTCCGAGTGGGTGCCGAAGGCGGGTTCCGACGGGTGCCGAAGTCATGATCACCCGAAAATTGAGATCCGACGATCGGTCAAGACGAACGGCCAGTTCGGCAGTGATCAGGAGGCCATATTCGGATATGTGTGACCAAGGTTGTAACTATGCCATGAACACTGCTGACCTGTTCCCGAAGACCAAGTTAACCTGCTGACCAGTAAAAATCAACAAGTCTTGAAAATCACCGTGGGAAAATGCATGTAATGAAGCACGCATTAAAGGTGCTTCACACTAGTGTTCCCTGTGTTTCCCGCCTGCCCTGGTACCAGAGTGTGCCACAAATACAGGGGAGTCCGAGTCGGCCAGAGTTCTAGCCAGCTTTAATTTTCTTCCGTCCACCCAGGTGTATCGATGGATTTTGGGAGGGGAGCGCCTCGCAACCTAGGGGGCCCAGAGCATGCTCCCCCGTGAAATTTAGGATTTTCAACCCTTTAAAAACGCAACTTTCCGCATTTTGAGAGGCAAATCATGGTGTTGAGAGTGGTTGTCGGTCTTTCGGATGTTTTCATGATTTTTACCCAAGATTTTTGTTAATTGTCTGTCAAGGTTGACGGATTCAAACTGACACTTCTCGGTTCAAAGACCACATGGCCGAAGGCTACCTCAAAAGCAATTCCCTAGGGAATGCATTCGTTCAATTTTTGATCGTAGTACGTACACAAATGCCTCCACCTCTGAGGCGTCACCAAAAAGAGGCTGGTTTGATCCACGCTCTTCACCCTCCAAACTTGTAACTTAAGAGACCTTAACAGCCTGGTATCCAATCCTAGCGTGGGTTGATTGCACTCTAGAGAGTTTTTGTGACTCTAGACTAGCTGTCTGCCACCTGGCTCTGCACTCGTGGAGTGCCATTGTCGAAGTAATTTTTCAGCCTAATTTTTCTGATGTACAAAAACATTACAATAGAAAAAGGGCTTGCCTAGTATTCGCTTTCCAATATGGCTTGCAATTTACAGAATATTTTGTCATTTTGCAGATTTACAGTATGGTCGAACTTTTCTGGAAAACGGCCAAAAATTAATGCGCGTGCGAATGTCATCCATATAATATAGTCAATGTTACAGTAGTCTTATATGAATAGCTCGTTGCCTGCAACATTTCCATCTGTCGGCCTATGGGTAATGGTTGTTGCAGTGGACATTGACAAGGACAACACTCTCTACACCCAGTACATTTTAATCATGGTAATGCCATAACAAGATGAAACGACTTGTTGAGGTACATGATGTAGAAGGGCAAGTTGTAATGTCTCTTGTTGCTGGACTTTCCACTCAAACTGCAACAAAAAAAACACAGGGGCAAGTGGAAAGGATCTGGTATAAACATTTAGACCCAGATGAACTGCTTCATGAAAACAGACTTGTCTAATTCTCTTAGAATGACAAATGAATTTGTTACAAATATCATGGACATAAGTTACGCAATGTATATCATTACCAAAAGTTAATGTACACAATTAAAATGTAGTCTACTCTTATAGTAGTTATACATGTATGGTGTATTGTCATCAGTTACTTGCTGAAAAATAAAACACTAGTTACTATCAATCATTTTGTAGAAACTTGATTGGTCTGAAACAAGTCAATACATGCTAACTTAACCTTGTACCATGTTAACTTTTGATATCACAATAAAAAATTTAATAATTTCAACTTTTTCTCACAAGCCATCTCTGATAAGATATCATCTGCATAATTATCATTAGATTCTGTAATTTACAATGCAACAGAAAGAGATTTATCATTATTTGCTTAATAGATTATTGATCATTACGGTATTGAATATTTATAAATATTGAATATAAACATATAGTATGATATGTTACACAATATCTGAAAATCATTTTACAGTGGTTCTATGTTGAGGGAGTTATTTAAACAACATTGATTGCAATGAGATGTATGGATTTCCAAACATACAACAGTCATGAATATCAAATTCTGCACGTTTTACTTTGATAGATGATATGATAAAATATTAATCTTTACAATTGGATATCAAAAAGTGGCTTAGACACCCCCATTCATATGATTTCCCATACAAGTTTTAATTTGAATAATCCAATTGTTGCTTTGCTATAGCCAGTTAAGACAAATTTAATCTTACATTTGCTAGACATAGAAAAATTGCACATTCCTTTAAAATTTCCTGTGGAAGGTATGAGATCAAATAACTGCAGATTGGAAGAATCACTTCGCTGCATTGATACAAAAAATGTCACACTTTTTTGTCTCCAGCTGTCTCCATTAAAAACACCATAGCCATAATATCAATCATCTCTTCAATAATTTAAAGTTTTCTGTACAACATACTAACTCTGCTACATCGTAGTACATGTATGCCTAGATGTCAATACTGAAAATTGATATTAAAATCAGAGCTGTTTTACAGACTCTGAAAGAAGTTGTCTGAACTCTCCTTAAGTGGATGTTATCCAGATTACTTCCACCTTTTTCAATCAGGGGAAATGGGGACAACAAAGGGGTTTAGGAGTGCCTTGATGGATGTCAGGAGCTGGTGACACTCAGCATCATTTTCTATCTCATGGGAAGGTATCCCATCATGCAGCAGTTGTTGGACCGCCTGGTGGATGTTGTGCAGTGTTGTCCAGCACACCTGTCGAACCTCCGCATCACGCAACGATACCTCACCTGAACAACGGTAGGTGTGGTCGTTAAACTGTCACAGTTTTAAACTACCCAAACAGATGCAGAACTAATTTGACCATCATTTGAGCTATATATAGAGAGAGTGTACTGCTAGATGCATAAAATTAATTATAAAGAATTTCTTGAAAATATGCGCTTTACCATTTTTGTCGGGGTTGATCTCTGTACCCAGGCGGTCCAGCACAAGCACCAGCACACGCTGCACAGTCTGTAAAGCACTGTATAAAATAAACAAAAATTCTTATAAATCATGAAGTGTGACTGTGTGATGGCTTGTAGGTTTGAGACTGTACTTAAGGGTTGTTATGGTGGGTGCAAGGCTTACTGTAAGAGAGCAAGCACTGGCAGTAATCAAATCAGAAGCAACTTACTAGTTACTTTAAATTTGCACCACTTTCATTGTTGTAAGTATACTAGTAGGTGGTAACCTTAATAGAACGGTATCAAAAGATTTTTTCAACTCAGCCAGTGAGTTATGGCAATGATAATCCTCCACCAGAAGAGGAAGACTGCTCACCTTGCAGCCAGTCTTGTTGAGGACTGCTGCTTCAGTACTGCCTCCACCTGGGGGAGAAGTCTTGAGGCCACGCCCAGAGACCAGTGGGACCTGAGCAGTAGATGGAGGTACCATTATGGTTTATTCACACCACAAATGTACAGACTAGGAACCTTGCATATGGTTCACAACAGATCTATGACATCACATACTTGTGACAACACATCTAGAAATTAGCTGCAAGAATTGACATAAACTTGAGGATAAAAGTAAAGAGGTTTCTTGTCATTATAAGTACATCTTAAATTATCAATCAAAGCATGAATATCATAATTGCCTAATAAATGACTAATTTATGTTACAGGCACAGGCAGCTGACTAGCTGACTGTACGCAGAAGGCAAAGGCTAACGCTAGAAATGGATAAAGTTGGTGCTGAAAGTGACCATGGTCCCCAACCCTACAGATGATCCTGACCTGTTGGCACACAGTGTGTCCAGCACATTGCAGCAGGCTGCGGCGTCCCACACCACCAGCGGACTGTCCCTCTCGTCCTCCGGCAGAGACGACACCTCCTCCTGGTCGTACCCGGCCTCCGTCAGCAGCTGCAGCGCCGGCTTGGCCAGACTGTCCGCAGCCTGCAGACGTTTCTTACGATTGGTCCACAGGTCCAGGATGAAGTTCACCACCTGATGAAAGGGAGTAAAATAAATCTTGGGATTCTGATAGAAGCTACATGACTACGTAACCACCAGATCTAACACACACGTCAAATTTACTGATTGGTTTACAGCTGCTAAAGATGAATAAATTAACATTCCATTAGATTATGTTTCAAAATCAAATGTCTTTATGATACAGTTGTATAAAAAAGCTATGTGTTTCCTAACATAAATGTTGTCTGAAGCTTATGGCAGAACTTTATCATAGATAATCTTACCCTTGTTCTTCTTGCCAAGGTGTCACAAAAGTCACTGTGCCCATTGTGGACTTTCTCTACACAGGTTTCCTATATGGAATGCCAAAAAACAGTCAAGAAACAAGCCTGTTTAGCGTAATTTGTGATCATCAGTGGATTTGAGTGGATCAAACACTCAAAATGTGGAAATATCACAAATAATGGAAAGCTTGAAAATATGACACATACTGGTACAATATGTACATGTATATAATTCACACCTCTGTAACTTCTTCTTTAGGGGTGATACTCCCATTCATCTCTGGGCTCTCTGACTCCAGCATTGGAGGCTGCGGAACCTGAAAATAGATTTCTTCTGTTACTGTACATCAGATGAAGCATACAAGTGCCAGCATTAAATTTCACTTATCAAAACAGGTACATTGTCTACAATGTAAATGTCACATTCAACTTCAGAACAAAAAAATACTTCTTAAATCAGCATTTACTGTAATTGTAACAGTTACTATAATCAAGGATCAGTGCTAAAATCTTGTGAATTCCAGTTAGTATTCTCTTAAGGTCAGTACATACCTTAATACTTCCCCATTTCCTCCTTGCTGGCCTCTCCATCATGACCTCACCATTCTCCAAGGACTCCTCCAAGTCAGCTGCCACCACCCCAATATCCTCCACCTCCACTTCAATGTAACTGCCTGCCAGACTGTTCTCCTCTATGTCCAGATCTAGTGGCGGGTTCTTCACAGTACCCCACTTCCTCCGTCCCTGCCCCATGGGAGAGACCACTGTTCCGTTGCCATTCCAGTGCACTGATGTCTCTTCAGAAAATACCACTTCTTCTAGGGGCAAGGAGGTTGGCCTAGCTTCACTCAAACCGATGCAGTTATCAGTTCCTTGTTGTAATGAAATAGTGGTAACTTGTTGTGTTTCAAGAGAAGGTTTGAACTCAGTGTTGTCATGACCATTGACAGTGTGCTTTTCTTCAGGACGATGTTCTGCCTTTGGCTTCACATAAAATTGCACAGGAATGTCTTTGCTGGATTTTCCTACAGTCTTTTCCTTTCCACGGTCCTTATCTGTTTTCTTTTTATTCTGTTTAGATGGTGAAGACTGAGGAGAGGATGTCTTTACCATCTTTGCATTCTTTGCATCAACACGAGTGGCTTCTACCACAGGATTGTCACCAGGTTGCTTTGGGGAAGTCTGAGAGGTTATAGGTGCTGTTCCAGAAACAGACTCACCTTCTAACTCAGCAATCTTGTCTGTAGACTCCAGAGTTTCATCTTTACTTTCTCTCATTACCACTACAGAGTCTTTTTCTGATTCGTCTTCACTGTCAGATGAAGATTCACTAGTTGCTGACTTAGTGTCTTCAGCAAAGCTCACCCTCTTCTCAGACTTTGAATCTGACCTTGTCCTTGTCTTGAGAATCGGTCTGTTTGACTGAGTTTCTTTAACTGCATTTACCTCTTGGTCTGTGTCATGGCACTCTCTGCAAAAAAGTAAACAATGTAAGTGGATACCCAATAATACAAGTGGGAAACTTTCTGTTTTATTTAGTGTAACCGTCTACGTAACACTTTGCATTCTAAAAGATACATGTAGTTATGATTTGCTACATGTGTACTGTACAAATTGCAGAGATCAGGTGAACCAGAGTTGTCGGTACATGTTGTATGTAAAATGTGCTAGCCTAGTCTTCCTATAGATTGTGTCATCTCCCAACTATGGCCTGGGTACACAGTCACTGTGATACATCATGCTTGACTAAGTATTAAAGAGCCAATCCCCAATTAGCCACAATACCTGTAGAACTGGGCACCTTGTGTGGAGGGAACAGGTGAGCAAATGTTCTGAATGGGACTTAAGGAGTCATGGGAAAACCACTTTAGAACTGTCAATAAGCTTGTCTGAATTAATCTCTACTCAGCTTTTACAGATCAATAAGTTTTCACATCCATGGTGACTAAAAGGACTAAACGCTGGTTTGAAAAAATTTACAGTGACAACAATTTAAAACAGTTGTACTCGTCATGCATCTACAACCCAAATTTCAGTCTGAACATGCAACCATTGACTGATCGATTGAGAGGTTTACAAATCTGTAATCACTGTTTGTTTTAAGGTGTTAAGTGCAGCACTCATGTCCTTAAGAAAAGAACAGACTTCCCTAGCATTTACAGATGAGTGATACATAATAGAAGCAAACAAGTGAGTTAGAAAGCAAGCTGAACTGCATATTTGTACTGGTCTGAACAGATTTGAAGATTATCATTTTTGTTAATGAATTCATAAAATTGAGGGCTCTTATTTTTTTAAACTGAAGGTTTATAGAGTGAAGCTATTAATAATATGAGTATTAATGTCTTTAGTTTCTCAAGGGCAAATGAGCAAGACTGATGGAGGGTCACTTTTCCATGTCTAAATGAAGCAGTTTTTTACAGACGTTTCTGCTTGATGGTGTAGTGGTAACAACTTTAGCCTTGGTTTGTGCAGACCTGTTTCCACACCTGTCCCCGGTTTGTGGACAACAACAGTACGGAAGGCTGCACACTGGAGTGGTTACCCATGGACTATGCTACAACCCTACGCCAACAGTCGAAATTTCTTCTGGAAGGTCTAATCCTATTCTGTCTTCACTGCTGTAATTCCTGCTAAGCTGATTGGATACATCATGTGAAAGGCTTTCAAACAACTCTCTTGTGAAATAAGGAGTACACAAGGCAGGTTTCACAGCATTCAAGGAGTTGTGATTTTGGAGGATGGGTGAGTGCAATTATCAGATCTTTAACTTTAAGGTTATCTATTAGCAGTATTCTCTAGTAATGTTGGTGATAGACGGAAATACTCTGTACTACATAGACGGCTCTACTTGTTAAGTTGTAAAATGGGAAGTTAAACAAACTTTACAAAACAAACGTTACATGTACAAAACAAACATGTACAATGTAAGCAGCAAAAGAATTAAATATATGTCATCACCTTAAAATGCAACAAGCAAACTATGCCCAGTAAACATAACCTGTAAGATGGTTTTTTAGGCACTGAATAAAGATATAATGAAAGGAAAGAAAATAAATCTACAATAGAACAAGCACTGCTTTGTTTATGTTGTTCCATGAAACGTGGCTGAAAAAATTTTGACCAGTGTATTTCAATCTAATTTGTTTTCTGAATACAGTATACATGCGTACATCCTGGCTTTTAGTTACTTTATTTCCAGTCTGATAAAAGAGCCATTCATGATCACATGTGAAACTAAAATGGTATTTACAAAACCACCTGCTGCAATAGAGTCCAACCAGCTCAGGAACTTCCTTCATATTCACAAAACAATATCCCATACCAGGGGTCGAAATACCCCTCTGTGTGCAACTTGGTGCAAGTAAATTTGGTGTCGTGCAACTATTTTTTTGCCGACCTGCACCGCGGTGCAAGTTTGCTTTATCCATGTAGAATACCCAATAAAGAACTGGAAAGGGAACAAAACCAGAATCCATGAAGTTTTCGGAGGCCGTCCACACAACCATATGGGGCTAGGGCTAGACGAGCTGTGCAGCAGGAATGTAATCCCAGTGAGTCTGATACAGATGATGAGGTGTAAGTGTGGAACAGGGCCACAGTGGCCACTTTACTGAGTGTCAGACATGAGGTTAGTAGTGTAAGGAAATATTGAATGCTATTAAAGTTAGTACATTGTACTTTTGGTTGTGTACGTATTATCTTTGGGGGGTGCAACTATTTTTCTTCTGGTGCAAGTATTTTTTCTTTCACCTGCACCAGTGCAAGTTGGCCCCAAAATCTATTTCGACCCCTGCATACACTGTACTATCTACAGGTGCAGGAGGTTCAGTCACTCACAGAGGGCAGCTGAGGGCTGTCGGTTTCATCACCAAGACAAGAGCACGACTAAGCAAGAGGAGGAAAGGGCTACAGGCTGGATCCAGCAAGGAATCTACCACCTCACTGCCGGGGGTGGGTGAGGAGGAGGGGATTTACTGTTTTCGTAACCATGGACAGGCCATACAGGTGAGGGGGAATGGTATGGCCAGAACCAAGATGCATTAATTTTTGTCTGAAAATATTACCAGGATATAGACCTATTAAGCATTGTATAGTATAGTATAGTATAGTGACTGTCTATATTACCTACATGAATGTGCATCTAACGACCTGTTGGCACAGTAAGTAAGTAAGTGAGAGAAACAGCTAGACCTCATATCCAGTGAATGATTTTGCATTAATTGAGATAATGTTATGAGGAATTTTGCACTAAGTCACCAATGAAGTTCTAAGGTATAAAAGACAATCATGTAACCAGTAATCTTGTTGAAACATTAGCCGGCTGCCTGATTTTTCTTGCAGATCATGGAGAAAATGAATGAGTTCAGAAAGAAAGGAGAGTTTACAGACATCACGTTGGTTCAGTGTAAGGACAGTGACTTCCCCTGTCATCGGGCAGTCCTCATGTCTGCACAGTACTTCCGACTTATGTTGGAGGATCTGGAGGTATTATGTTTTACCAGTAGAAGAAATGTCCTCATGTATCAAGTGAAACCTTTCTTGATTTTGAGAAAATGCAATCAAGCATCATTATAGTACTATGATATCTTGTAGCATGCATAGTTTAGTGGTTAGCAACCCTGCCTCTGGAATAAGAGGTTGGGAGTTCGAATCCCGGCTATTGTCGCTCACCTGACATGAACACTACTTTCAAGGGTCGCAGTCGTTAGGATGGAATTTTGTGCTTGTATAATGAACCTGTAAATACTCTATAGCATTTGTCTTCTCTGTCATGACCAGTGGGACATTAGCTCTTTAGTGACCTAAAACTGAACCAGGACCACTTTCTTTTTTCTTTCTTTCTTTCTTTCTTGATAGAATCTGACGAAACCGTCTAATATGCTGTGATTTGTGGTTTTATTCCTTTTTTGTGTCTGCTTGACTTCTGGTGTGTACCACAGCTTGGGAAGGCTGGATCAAACCTGTCCATCCTACACATGCACACTGAGGTGCTGGAGGACCTGCTCAGCTTCATCTACACGGGAAACATCCTGGTCACACCTGCTAATGCAAGGCACCTGCTGGAGGCCGCACACAGGTCAGGTTACTTTTACAGCTGTAGCACCTGGCAGGCATATTTGCGACAGTTACATTCCTAGGATTCTTGTAAGCTGTTTGTTGTATGTTGGAAAGAAGCTAAGGGTCAAGAATGAAAAATTGGCTCCTTAATGAATTTCCCTAATATCTGCTAAAATAAAATGCCATGAAAGTCCATTGAATTTTTATAATTTATATTTTGTAAACCAACCAACCAACCAACCAACCAACCAACCAACCAACCAACCAACCAACCAACCAACCAACCAACCAACCAACCAACCAACTTCCCCGCTGCAAAGAAATATGCTATAAAGTCAAATTCTTGGCGGAGGTTAAGACAAATATCAATTCTGTTAATTCATGAAAACTTGTCATATAGTAAAGAGTAGTATAGTAAGAGTAAGAATATTGTCTATTCTTCTTGTGGCCCAGGTTCCAGATGCAGGATGTAGCTGAGAAGTGCTGCTACCTGCTGGAGGCCATGCTGACACCTGCTAACTGTCTGGGTCTGTGGCAGCTGGCTGACACTTTGGACCAGGGAAGTTTCCTCCTGAGGGCACAGCAGTACGCACTGCACAACTTTCAACAGGTCTCACAACACCTCTCTTTTCATTTGTTTTACAAATTGTAGATATAGTGTGGTCTCTTGGTAGACATGGATGGGATTATACACTCAGTATAAAAATTACAGTTATTGTTTGTCCTTTCGTTGCAACACTTTTATTTGACTCCTTTCGGGGGCAAAACTAAGTTTTGAGGGCTGATACGCCATTTGAAGCAAACAACAAGATTTGGTCATCACTCTGACCTCATACTATTGTTACGTGCATAAACTAATAACAGTTATGCTTCCTTCAGGTAATGCAGCATGAAGAGATGCTTCAACTGTCCAGCCAACAGATTGTACAATACCTCAGCCATGATGACCTTTGCACCCCAGATGAACACATGGTGTTCACTGCTGCCATGAAGTGGCTGGAGACTGATACACACAGGTAAGGTTAACTCAGCCTTGTGCTGACAATACTGGTGACTTTAAACTTGGAAATACACGTACACAGACTGGGAAAATCTGATTTCAGCTTTTTTTTAAATTAAGGCCACACCAATTTAATTTGTTGGTTCTCGGATTTTTTCAGAAAAAATATGAAGCGACAGGGCAAAAAAAAATAAAAATAAAAACAGGTCTAGGCATCCTATTATAGCCCCAAATGCTACAATATGAGCCATGAAGTCAACAAAAAAGGCTGGGTTAAAATTTAAAGTATAAATTTTGAACTTTTAATCAAAACCACTGCATTGATAGATGTAAAAAACTGTAACAACTAGGAAGAAAAGGAATTTCCTCAACTGTTGGGGGCAAAATATGAGCATTTTTTAGTTGATTCAGAACCAGAATTCTTTTTTTTTTTTTTTTGCAAATCAGAAAAAAATGATGAGGCGAATCCGAGAACCAACAAATTAAATTGGTGTGGCCTAAGGACTGAAGAATATGCACAGTGAAGTTTTCCTCCTTTGATAGTGTACTTATCTGGCTTAATTTTGGTACCTGTCATACGTTTTGAGAGTAATAAGTGGCAAAGTAGCACAGGAGACATTAATACATGTCTGAAATAGTCTAGATCGGTAAAGATTTCTGTTTCTAAAGCGCTTTTCTTCATCCCGCCCACAGGAAGGCCTGTATAACCAAACTCATGCCCAGTGTCCGGCTGGAACATGTGACCCCAGAGTTCCTGGTGAACTCTGTCGAGACTGTGCCGTTCATCATGGACAACTCAGAGTGTGCTCAGTTCATCAGCGAGGCCAAGAACTACCACCTCATCAGGGTGGTGGAGAAGGTGGAGCCAAAGTACAAACCCAGGAAGAGTTATACCACGGTTCCATCAGGGAAGGGAATCAGAGGGAAACAACTGTGGGCCCAGGTTAGAAAGATGGGAGGACCCAAAAACAATCCAAGCAAGGGAAACTTGGGTATTACATGTAAGTTGAATTGTCTTAAAATGAGATAGTAAGTTCTTGAATATCACACTTGGCTTCTGTACCTCTTCATGTGAATAAACCAGTCTCTAGGCTAGGGACATTTTTTACAATCAAATGCTTTGTTTGTCCACATATAGCTGCAGCTCGGCAGTCAGTGGCAGAAGTAGGGTACCAGCTGTGTAAGCCTGAACAGCCCAGTAATGTCCTGAAACTGCTGTGTCAGCAACGCAAGGACGCAGAGATGACAGACATTGCTGTCTGCTGCGAGGACAGCAACTTCAACTGCCACAAGTAAGTTTTCAAACATATCTCATAACACTGTCTACTGCTAATGCATGACCATGCTTTTCCCTTCTGCCTAAACCCCATCACTACCAGTAACACAAATTTAATGCAAGGGAATTAACATTGTATATTAGCTGATATCCATAACATGTGCTACTACTAGTAGTTGATTACTCTAAAGACAGTCTGGCACAAGTGTCAGTTTTGATTCTGTCCAATTGTCACCCTGTAGGGCAGTGTTGGCTACCAATGCCTACTTCATGGCCATGTTCTCAGCCGACATGAGAGAAAACCAGAATTCTGAGGCCATCCTCAAGGGTGTTTCCCCTGATATTGTCAGCAGACTGATTAACTATATCTACACAGGCAAGTACAACAGTACTTAATTTGGTTTCAGAGGTAGCCATCATTGTATAATCTTAATCTAACTTCCTAAATATGTATACTGTACAGTGTTGTCATTGCTACAAATTATAGTCCATCAATATGACATACATGAGGAGAAAAAAAAAACTTAATATATTAAGATATTGTTACAGTACCATAAGAGTTGTAATTGATTCCAGTCAATATTAACTATATTGTCAGTTATCATTACAATGTTTTGATTCAAAGCACATCAAAAATAATCTTTAATTTCTCCAGGAGAGATCACCATGACTACTGCCAACGCCCAGGACCTCCTGGAGGCCTCCTGTCACTACCAGTTCCACGCTGTCAGAGAAGCCTGCTGCACGTTCCTGCAGGCTAACCTGCACCCTGCCAACTGTATCGGCATGTGGCAGTTTGCAGAGGTTCTCGCCTGTAACCAGCTACAGGAGGCAGCCAAGCAGTATGCCCTGCACAACTTCCCTGATGTCTGTGTGGAGAGTGAAATCCTTGACCTGCCGCTGGACCACATGTTGGAATACCTGTCCAGTGACAAGTTGTACGTAATGGAGGAAGGGACGGTGTTTGACACAGCCATGCGGTGGATGAACCACGACCTTGCAAATCGAAGAGACAATGTGAGAGACATGCTGGGCACGGTCAGGCTGATATCCGTACATCCGAGCTACCTGCACAACATTGTGTCAAAGAACATCCTGATCAAGCAGTGCCCTGAATGCATGAAGCTGGTGGAGCAGGCAAAGAACCATGTCCTCCTGCAGGACTGCGGCTCGGAATGGGCCAATCGGGCACGGATGAGCAAGCCTCGTGACTGTGTGGGGAGGAGCGTCCTGGTGATTGTCGGAGGGATGGTGAAGGTGGATCGTAAGGAGGTCAGCACCGACAAGTTGATTTACTATGACCCACAGGACCCCAAATGGAGACTTCTGGGTAAGTTGCCGGTTCCTCTCCTTAGCCCCGGAGTGGCGGCCACCAGAAACAGCATCTACATCACCGGAGGGAAGGCCATGCTGTCCAGGACAGGAGAAGAGGACGACACAGTCACCAACAAGGCCAGCATGTACAGCCTGGCCATTGAGAGGTGGCTGGAGCTGGCTGACATGTTGGATGCGAGAAGGAGCCATGGGTGCGTGCTCCTGAACGGGAAAGTCTACGTGGTCGGTGGGCTGGATCAACACGACGTTGTCATGGACAGTGCCGAGGTGTATGATCCTGAAATCAACCGGTGGGAGAGCATCATGCCCCTCTCCAGGGCAGTGTGTGCAGCGGCTACTGCTGCATGCCAGGGTCAGCTGTACGTGATCGGGGGAAGCACCATGTTCAACCCTATTGTTCCCATCAACCTCATACAGTGCTTCAGTCCTGAAACTGGCAGGTAAATTCTCACTGTATTTGTTGTGACAGAGACAGTTGATTTATTTGTGCCAGTTTCCAGATGTACATTGTATGTCTTTCACTGCACATACGTATTGTACATGCTTTGCTTGTGTCACATCAAAGCTTCAATGTGCATATTTAAGCAACATATGTTGCTATTCACAATTTTTTATCAGTGTACACAAAATCTTTATCATTGTCAATTTGCATCCTCCTTAATTAGGGTCAGATGATAAAGCAGAATAATTAATGCTGACTGTTGCTTATAGAACAATACCACATACATGTATCTCTTACTCTGTTACAGGTGGAAGTATGTGGAATCTTCCTTGGTGAACCACATCGGAACCCCCGCTGTGACCATGGATGGGAAGATCTACGCCATCGCGGGAGCATTCCACAACCACGTCATCGTCTTCAGCCCCGACACCAACCAGGTCACCAGGGTTGCCAACATCAGCATCGTACGGGCTCTGCACTCGGCCGCCATGTTGGATGGTAAGATCTACTGCACTGGCGGGATAAGGGATGCACCAGAGGTGGCCGATCCATACAACAGCATGGAGTATTATGATCCTGAGAGCGATACGTGGACTGCAGCAGGTAAAACTGAACTCCTTTCCATGTCTTCATTTCTTATGTTGGGTGTACAGTAAGACAACATGCAGAAATGTATCTTAATACGAAATACCAGGGATGACCAATATGAAATCACAATTGTGTGTGATCAAACCAACATGATGGACACTTGGATGAATGGTATGGATGATCTGATGGATGAATGTGGCCATAGGTGATTGGACGATCAGACACTGTCATACAGATAAGATGGACAAGACACTCACTGAGAATTACATCGTACGTATTAAGTGAATTTTGGACCATCATTTCCAGTCATCAAAGAGAGCAGGTCCTCCTACAGAAACGGCAACAGACGAGGTCACGTCAGTAATCCAACACATTAAATACCATAAACGTGGTGTCGCTTCATTTTAGAAACAACATTTCCTTAATCATAAGCAGCACTGCAACTGATAACTCTGTTGTTTTACATGACAGGTAAACTTCCCCAGGCCCTGTTTGGACACAGGTGTGTCACAGTCTTCAAACGGACAAAGAATGAGCCAAGAAAGAAGAAGAAGCCAGCAGGGAAGTCAAACCAGGCACAACTGTCCAACAACCATCCTGCACGAGAGTTCTTACAGCGCAGGGGGACAACCATCTTGGGATAGGCTGTTTGTACATGTACAGGACTAGACTAAGTATGATATAGTATGAAATCTATTTCATCTAAAACTTAATCTAGACTAAGTATGAAGTGTATACCATCTGTATTTGTTGAAAGATATTGTATAATGTCCACTTGGTTCAAATATCCCTAACATGTTGTGAGGCTTACATGTAGAAACAACACCATCTGTGCCTAGAAAATGACAACTGAATCCAAAACATATCTACCAGCTTGAAACCAGTTTGCAAATTTGATACAAAGATGGGAGATACATGTGCATGTATATATAGGACATGTCATTTATTTACAAATTACGTTATTACCTTTTTGTGAATATTCTACCCCAGTGATGTAAGTACATGCCGTGTAAAAGTTTGTTGCATGAATAGATCTGTATACATTGCCTGTAATTTAATGTAACTCATTTCTGCAGTGACAGGTCTCTGATTATATCTTGGGACTGCTTGGTAATTTAATATGTCATTTTCTCATCTGTTATATTATGTATTTAATAATGTTAACATGTTGCAGATTTGTCTGACATTTGATTAGGCTGATGTTAGTACACCCTACTTGTAACATTTATCAATTTGGATGCTTGGAATCATGAAGTTGTTATCTTGAAGTTAATGATTGCATGTGTAATTTTTCCATATTGACTGCAAAACATCTTGTAATCTATGTAATGTGTTTTGGTGTCTTATAGTAACAATATTTAGTAGGTAACTTTTCATGGTATACATGTATATAATAACAGGGCCCCTTTTGCATTTTGGTTTACACTCAACATTATCACATAACACATTCAATATTATCAACTGGGTGACTACAGATTCTGCACCAGTATTGGTCATACCTGTTATGAATCCACTTGGTTGATCATACTACATGTAATATTATGTGAAATTTCACAAGTTGTAGTGCCTTAGCCCTGCACACTGGTAACTACTAACAACTACAAGTGAGAAAATGTCATCATTGATTACAAAGTTTAAGAAAGACAGTTGCTCACGTGACTGGTGTGAAGTATGTGGTTATACATGAGCCGTCCTGCTGTACAGACAGGTTCTGTGGGTACAGCGACATCACGTCCTTCACCGTAACCATGGCAACCTGCTGTACAAAGTCCAGCACGGCCAGTCCTGTCTCCACAAATGCCTCCGTCCTGGACAGGCTGCCATCTGGTACAGGTGAAAAATACATACAATAACTCCCATGCTCTAATATCATAATTAAGACATTAAGTAGGTTCTAAAGTAAACATTGCTGTCAGCAGTGTACAATGTATGTCAGACATCAGCAGGCCACTGCCAAAATTCACAGTTTCTGTAACTGTTATTCACCTATAGCAGGACTCAAACACGTACAACCTGTACATTTTGCATCATCCTAATGTACATTGTACATGGTGCATAATTCACTCATGTCATTGTTTTGTACGAAAGGCTGTGTTCTACCCATTTGATGGTCTTTACTTCAGATATAAACTTGTGCATTCAGGTTCCCTTGTGGTGTACAGTCCTTCCTTTTCTTGTAAGAAGACTGTTATGTGTTAAAGCATCAAATGTAAAATTGAGAACATTCACAAGTATTGACAGCTACACCTCTTTTAGTTGATGACAGTGAGTCACTTTTAGTGAGTCTTTGTGTTTTGCAATTGGTCCTTCTATTAGTACAAAAAAGTGCTGACAGCTCATTCCACATGACTTTATGAATATCGTACATTACATGCAAATACATGTAGTGGGTGAAAACACTACCTATCAAATGTCATGAACCATACTAGAATTTCACAACTAGGCATGCACTGAAAATCTTTGACCTTGTAAATGGCATTGTGCACTTTAATCTCAATCATGCACACACAAAGACAGTGTAGTGAGCTAACAGAAAAAAAAACATTGTCACAGCAATCAATAGACATGTACATTTTACCTTCCTCTGTGTATTCCAGTCCTGATAAGATAGTGGACAGAAGAGAGGAAAGATATTCAAGATGAAAATTATCAGAAAGACAGTCAGAACAAACATCACAAATCTGTAGTTAGAGAAATTCAAAGGACTTATTTGTTATAATCTCAGATTACACAATGTCATATTTAGTTTTAAATCAACCACAAACTCTATACTTTTGGTCTGAAGAAAAGGTAAGAATTTGAAACAATTCCAATGGTAATTGAAATCACATTCAACACACAGCAAAAAAAACAGTTTTCAGTGGTCTGTAGAGCCAATGTTCTACTTTTGGTTCTTTAAAATGTTACCTGCCAGGACCACAAAGTTGATAGTTGATGACATGGTCTGCACCAGGGCTGCCAGCACCCTGCACCCAGCCTGCACCACTCTCTCCTCACCCTTGTGTTCATCCATGGCACGCACCACCAGTTCCACTACAGACTGACGCACAGGGGCCTGAAGGGGGCACATGTTTGTATCAATGTCAAGTACATGGTATGTTGCTTATTAAGGTTGCTATGGTAAGATAAAAATGTTATCTTCCTTATCAGCTTGTATCAATTCAGAATCCACCACCATTCAAACCTATGATCTGTGTTTTACAGCATCAGTACAACAAACAAATGATAACTCAAATTATTCTTCAACTTTGAAACTATATTATAATAAGATCATAGTTTTGACAATTTCTTTCCTCTAAAATTATACCATGCCGATGGCTCCTGAAGTCACCAATGAAATAACTCTAATGGTACATTGTAGCTATGAATGAAAATTTTGATGGAAGAAGTAATTTCAATCTAATGCATCACCATAGTGTACCTTCTCGCCTGGAAGTGGCCTGTATGTTGCCAGCTGCCCCAGCACCTGGCAGCTGTACAGCTGCAGCTCTGCGCTGCAGTGGTGAGCCGCCATGGCGCCCTGTACAGCTGGGGAGGCCTTACACTCCACCAGGGCCTGCAGGTTAGCTGTGAAGGTGCTGAGTGCTGCCAGCAGACGCAGCCACAGGATGTTGTGCTGAACGGGGTCCTGCGAATACAGAAATGGGATTGTTCAGATACATGTCTTGAACTAACTACATGCAGTTAAACTTGATTCTAAGGATTACCTCCATCCATACTTTGGGCAATAACACATGGCAATGCTGAAAACTAGAGCAACAAGCAAACAAAGTTCCAACAAACCAAGCAGTTGCTGCTTGACACCCCTTCCTATACTAATGTGCAACACAATAGTAAAATTTCCAGGCTACGACTCAAGTGCATCACTGGTTGAAGGCCATGCTACCATGAACTTGAAGGGCTTTACATTTTGTACAGTAATGTAGACTATATGTAAATTGTTTCATCTAGTATATCCTTTTGATCTCATACCTAAGAAATGTGAACGTGAATCAAGATTGTAGATAGCCAACATTTGTATCTATCTTTGCACATTAACCCACTTACCAGGGAGAACCTGAGCAGCTGAACCAGCAGCTGTATGATGCAGGTGTGACCTGGCACCCGGCCCGCAGGTGTCTCTCCCCTCCCATCACTGTTCTCCTGTCCTGTCTCCTGGTAAAACTCCCGCACAAACTCCACCAGAACCTCCTGGTCCACCTCAGATACCTCCTGGAGAAAACCAATCAATAGTGCCGTTACAAATAGCCGTGACTTGATGTCAGCCATGAGAAGGTTATAAATGATTAAAAACAGACCTCATTCTTTCCAAGAATGCCCTCCTAAGACAGTCATGTAAACAAGTCATATCTTGAAATCAAACATATATAGCTTTCCTGACATCAGTACACTGCAACTTCACCAAATTTCTGACAAGATTTGAAATCCAGTTGAACTATATATAGCATAACTGTTATTCTTTGCTTTTGGGTAATAATGCCCCAGGACAAACCAAACAACCAATTTCAAACCATTTCATACAATGTATGACATTACACACTATCCAAATGCCTGGCTGTATTGTAGGGCATCATCATGATTGATTTTGCCAGGCAGCATGACATACATCTATCCACTGACTGATCAAATGAGATTTCAGCACCAAGGACAGCACTACCCAATGTAAGTACAGAGTTATCTCTGTTAATTAGACCTTAAAGGCAAATTAGACTAGGTACAATACATCATCCTTTCTGAAGGAAATCACTGCCACCTAAAAAAAGCACATTAAAAAGGGCCATTAGCAATGATGTAACAATTTTCTTATCAGACTTGTCATGATTCAATTACCGAGGAACTGATTTGATTACAGGCTGGAAAGCTTCAACTTGTAATGTACCTACTACATTTCCTACATCCACTTAGAAAGGCAGGAATAGAACATGTGCCTGATGAATTTAGATAAGTATGAAGCTGTGTTCTGTCAGGTGTCACACTGGAAACTCTCATGCACTAATTTGAAAGTTGGTGTGACATTGTGAGGCCGTTAAAAGTGTAACTTTTGTCCATTTCACAGACATTAAGCTCTGAACATTTACAGCTGAGGCTGGGATGAAAGAAGCAATTTATCAATGCTGTGGATTGTCTGCTACTGAATAATTAAATTATAAGGTGCTCTATCTATATACATGTAGGTCAGGAAGGGAGGCAGACAACTAGCTGTTACTGAACCAGTGGTTGAATTACCTACTTTCACGATGTAACAGTAGAAAAATTGTAAACATCAAATCACATGACTGTGTTACCTTAATAAAAAACATTAAAAACATAAATGGGCTCATTCTGTGTTTCATACAATATCAGTAATCATGAACAACATGTAAAAAATATTACATACATAAAAACATAAAAAAACTGCACATTTATCAGCCTCACTAGACAATCATTCAGTGACAAATTGCTTTCATTTACAACATGAACATCTTGATGCATGATTCCAAATATAAATCTAGTGACTAAATGTTTGTGGACATTTTACAAATCCTAGGACATCGTGAAAATTTTTCAAATTTTTTATGATAATGCTGTACGAAGAATTTTTGCTCTTTTGTCTGAATATAGTTCTTCTAGACATCTGTTTTACCTGTAATGCCTTGAACAGTGTATCCACCAGCTGTGGTGTAGGCTGGAGGTCAGGTAAGGTCAGCAGCTGCCGGCTCAGGATGGAGGATGCCAGGTTAGCCACCTGGTCAGGTGTCGTCAGGTGTTCCAGCAGGTCTGAGTCCAGACTGGGCTGTACCACTACACACCACTCAGGGGACAGGGGGGAGGACACAGAGGTGGGTCTCCTCTCCTCCCTGTAGGTAAGGAAGACAGGAAATATAAATTATAGTATGAAAAGGTACCATTCAAAGTTCTGTGCTGTTTGGTTAGGAATACTGGGTATAGAATTGATTGTGTATGTGTCTTTGTATTTTGCATGCATGAGTGTATGTACATGGATGTGTGCGTGTGTGTGTGTGTGTGTGTGTGTGTGTGTGCGTGTGTGTGTGCGTGTGTGTGTGTGTGTGTGTGTGTGTGTGTGTGTGTGAGTAGAGAGAGAGAGAAAGACAGAATATATGTGACATTGCTGATGCATTCAGTGGTGTATGTACTTGTAGGCCTATTAGTGTCCAATATAATACTATTTTACTTGGTGTGATATGATTTATCACCAAGAGCAATGTAATCAGAATCCGCCATCTACCTATCTATTATGTAAGACTATCAGAGACTGTCACAATGAAAGATTGGCACTGATCACACAGAGATGATAGTGCATCCATGATTCAGCTTCTTATGACATGATGATTTATAACTGTGTTTCCTGTGGTATGACCATGCTACCCTATCAGTATCATTTATTGTTATTACATACAGCAACTTGATAACGATAAACATTGTGGGGATTTGGTTACAATAATCATATTGTGTATGTCCAGAATAGATAATCCTTGGGTATTGCAAGTGACCTTAGCTTGGTGGCAAAGTGATAAAAATATAGCTCATTTGCAGGGATCTCAAAAACCTGAAACCAAAAACTTTTGGGAAGACAAAATCTACATCAGGACAAAATGGCGACAGCAAACAACTGAACTGAACAAATTTCTAGAAACTAATTGAATTTACCTCCTCATGGCATCCCTTGATAAGTACACTGCACATTGCCCCATATCGGTCCTCTACCCTAGCTAATACAGCTGTTGCCTGTCACTTCAACATATATTTGTGCAAAGTACAGACAACCTAATATTTGCCATGGGGCTAATTTAAAATTTGAAATGAAAGCTTTTCCTTCTGCATTACGTATGTCTAATAAATGATCATGTTAGTATTACAAAAGCTTTACTTAAAAAGGCATTAGTCGAGTGCTTTTCAGTTTGAAGTTGATAGAATGAAGGAAAATATGATACTGTCAACCAATGGCCTCCCTGAAGAATTAAATGGTATCTACCCGTGTGCTGTTATGGAACAGTTCCTGACGGATCGTGTTACAGAAAGTATGATGACAGATTTGGATCCAGTTTGGGCAGCTGAGAACATCAGAGGACATACATGGCATCATTGCTGGTAACCTTTAACCTAATCAACTGTGTGTGTGTGTGGCAGTAAACAGGGCGTAAGTCATCTTTGTTGTTATCCATCTTAGCCACTATTAACAGATGAACTTGACCTTTTGTTGACTTGTATAAACCAGTGATTTATGGTATCGCGCTGCCTACGTTGATTCCTTGCATGGCATGATCTCACTAGTGTATAAACCTGCTTTTCATTGACGTCATAATGTTTATCGTATGAATCTCGGCAAGCAGGTGTTGGCAGGTAAATTGATCACAGCAGCTGGAGGTTTAACAGATATACACTGTAATCCAACATGATGGATGTGTAAAGGCTATATTCCTGAATCTGTGCTAAACTCTGTATCATCTGTGAGAAACTCTTATCTCTTTCTTAAGATTACACGTTGTACATGATTTTCAAAAAGAAAACAGGTCGCAACTGTCACTGGGTAATTTTTGCTTCTTCTTCTTTGAATATTGCTCAGCTCTAGTTTGACCTCAATGATCATTGAGCATCAGCTACAGGTGGAAGTGATGCATCCCATTTTTCTTACCTTTTTCTCTCAAACCTGAAGAGACCATGCCTCCCCACCCTGACAAGACACCCTGTAAGACAACAGAAGTCAGTTTAATACTGAAAGATTGAGGCAAGATGTATTTAGAGTTCAACATGGTTTACTTTATGATGACAAGGAAATGTTTTTCATATTTTTTATTTACTTCTTATCCTTTTTTTATAGCTTTTTAACTATGATGGGGAGCAGTCTGATTAATTGGAAGGTTATCTTGCATATTACTATTAGGACGATGAAGCACAATGAAGATGGTACATAAGAAATGAAAATGAAAGGCATGATTGAAATAAGTTTTTACGTAACCAAGCAAATTTTTCAAGGAAGCTTGAATTGAGGATGGACATCTTCTTACTGTACTCCATGTCAAATGGAATATCCCTAGTTCTCAATTTTTTCTCATTGATCCTGACCTACCCTGGGTCAGCTGTGTTGGTTCCCCCAGTTCCACATCGTTGATAGAACAGCTCAAACTCCCCTGTTGGGCGGCAGACAGAAGGAAGCCCCCATCACGAGTGTTAACCACACAGAACACTCCCGGCTCACTTTCACCTTTTATGGCAATATCAACATCTTTACCAGATCCTGAAAGTTAGATAAAAGCAGAAGTTGTGGTGTAATGATTAATGATGAATACACATTGAATTTGAAGAGAACGCAGAACATGTAAGTTTCAGCTAATATTATGCCAATAAACTTGTACTATAATGTGCTACTACTTGATAAGGATGTTTTTAAGATCTACTAGTAACGGACGTTATATACTGTGATGATGAGCTTAATAAAAATTCAACAATTGCATGGTTCAAATTGTGCCAATGACCTTTATCATATAATTTACGTAACATTTAGACGTTAAAGAAATATGATTTGTCACCTTATATTACATGAGAAAGAGAGTGTGATCACAGTGCTGTAACGTCATCAATCAATTCTTTTGACAATGATGATATGTTTGACATTAAATCAGCTTTCAAAGTGGTATCAAATTTTCTTCCTTGTATGACAATGCTGTTTGGGAATGGTAGGGGCGGGGTGCCAAAATTGCGCAATATATTGTCATGCTGAAACAACGGGCTATCTTCAACCAACAAGGTCTTTTATATGATTTGTACATTGGGCGAACGTCATCCTCAATGCATTGTTCCGAACAATGGCAATGCACTTTGTAATTTGAGCACACTTCGATTTTAATAGCCTTCATGAACCATAAAAATTAATGCTCTCCTTTGAGTAAACATAACAGTACATCCCACACACTGATCCCGAGTAATCCATAACATTAAGTGATGTCCTCACGTCTATAAACCTACCTATGGTCACATCTCGCCTGGTGCCCAGTTCATGTCTCTGTCCGGTGTTCAGGTCCAGGAGGAAGGCGGTGTTCACAGGACCACTTCCCCCGGCCGCGGCGGCTGGTGCTGCCGCCATATCTACCCTAGATTGCACGATGCCCGGTCACGGGTTTGCCGCTCACGGAGGCTCAGAAAGGGCCCCACAAACAACAGTCATATTCCTGTACAATCTGCCAACTTCTGCGCAGCTATTGACAATGAAATCAGCCCTAAAACGAGCCAAAATCTACATGTTGTGGGGAGGGATCGTGCGCCGCTATCAGCCGCCAGCTGCCATACAATGCCGACCTTTGACCCCTTGCTCTGGCTGACAGACGCCCCTGATTATCAGTTATTGTCGTGAACTATTCACTGATCGATCGACCGAATCTGCCGCCGTTGGTACTAGTATGCCTCTATTTCAAAGAGTAAAAGGTTACGAATTCAATTTCTCATGTTAATCAGGATCGTTATGTCGTTATAATTCGACTCGGTCTTACAATATGGTGTTATGAAATTATTATCGAAGTCATTAGCTAAGTAATATATTCAATATTGTGTTTTCAGTATATTACTGTTGTGTACCTTCCATCTTGTCCATTGTACATAAAGGTATAACGTCATCTTCTTCAAAGAAAATGTCTCGGAAGAGGCCGGTACTTTTCAATCGTTGTATAGGCGCGCTAGGTTACATTGATTATCCAATTGAAACCCAATCAGCACCATGGACAGTGCCCCTGCAGTCTGTGATGCTGAAAGCCACAAAATGTTTCCATCCTCTTCCGGAATGCTTTAGATGCTTTAAATTTCCATACTGATCAGCTCAAAAAGCTTTAAGGGGACTTAACTCAAGGTTTGTCAAAGAAAGGATGGCGACATAAATGCATTTATTCGTCTGTAGCGTCCAGCTTTTAACTGAATTTGTTCAGCACTGCAGCAGACTGTCCATACCCAGCGATTAGTGTAGAAATAATTTCAGTACAGCCTACTACAAAATGATAGGTTGCAGACGTCTGGGTAGTTACACAACTATAGTTTTTCTTTATTTCACAAATGTTAAAGCACAATCTACAGGCTCCCACGATGGTAATTGAATAATATGACAACATACGTTTAGTATTTCTTTGTAGACATGTCAACAAGGAACAATGAAAAGGTTATTCAACAAGCCTACGATATTCACGTGATCACTAAGGGACGCTAATCTAGACAGCCATATGGCGACACAAGCTATACGTATCACTTACTACACTGGCTACTATTTGAGACCGTACGACTAGTTCATACAGATATCATTTTACGAAACATGTACAGGACAGGCAACCATTTACGTGCAAATACTTGGACCACATGAAAAGAAAGCATAATTATTTGGAACTATTTGTACATTAAGTATATCCGCCACAGACACGAATCATTCAACAGCATCTAGTACTTATTAATGACATCATTTACTGTTACAGTAGCATCTTTAACATGCTATTTGTTTCACCACGTCCACATTAAGACTTTCATAATATATTGTAGTGTGACTCAAATACCAGTATAAACACATTTTACCGGCGTCTACCTTTATCTCTACATTCCATACATACATGGATCATCAAGAATAACCAATGACGTTCTACTTGTAGAATGTCCTTGGAATAACAGGTATGAAACTGCAAAACACTTATAGTGAACATTGTCAAGTAGACAAAAAGATGTGATATGAACGTATTATATATTACACCATGACAAAGTTCATATTAATACTGGGCGTTAGTCAATATGAACAATCTGTGCACTATTTATTAAAATGCCCCAATTAATAGTAGCCAACATACATAGTATAGTTCAAAGCAGTGGTTTAATGATATTGTGATGCAGTTTTCAATCATACGTACTGTACTTTGATTGTTGTCGCGTGGTGCTGCTTTACACAGGGACCACCTGGATGTGAGTGGTTCGCCTCTTTCTGAAACACAGGATGGCGCGGAAGGCTCTTCTGTAGTCCCTGTTTTTCCAGGTGTGAATGATGGGGTTCAGAGAACTGTTGCAGGCGTAAATGATCGCGGCAACAGTGAACGCTGTCGGCGGGAGGTCGTCCATGCCATTGTCCGCGACGTACAACAGAGAGTACGGGGCCGTGGTGGACAGGAATGTCAAGTAGATGAGAAACATGTGCTGGGTTTCCTCACGACCTTGATGGGGACAATCGGGGAGTTTGTCGGCTGTTGGTTCGGCTTGGATTTTTCTGTCGCTCTTACGCACGGTCATGAAGATATGAAAGTAGCAGGTGATGCAAACGAAGTTCGCCACGACCACCATGGCGCCGGGGAGGGTGAAGAAGTACAGATAGGTGTTCGGATTGGAGACCACGAAGTCACACGTGTTGGTGGCGTCGTTGTATCCAAACTCGCCGAACCCGAAAAATGCAGCCGGAGTAACCATCAGGAATGATATTGTCCACGCCATCACTATCATTACAGTTGACTTAACAGGGGAGAAAAACATTCTGTAGACTGAAGACGTCTTGGTGACCAGAATGTAGCGATTTAACGCAATCAGGCCCGAGGAGATGAGTGAGTGAACTCCGCTGAGGATCGTGATAGCCCCAAGACCTTTACAGAGTTCTGGCTGGGGCTTCCAGCCGCCTACGCTTAGCTCATGAGCCGAGAGCGAGTCGTAAAGTGCCGCAAAGATGAGATCACTGACCGCCATACTGGTGATGAACGCGCCCAGAGAACACCGTAGCTTCTTAGTCAACACGAAAGCCAAGATGAGCAACAGGTTGCCGAACGTCCCAACTATAGAGATCACGGCGAAGAAGAAGGCTGCCGCGGGCCGGGGAGCGAAGTGTGGCCGCCCGGGAACAGGGGAAACAGGGGAGGCCGTGGTGTGGGGCTGAGTCAGGTTTGACAGGTAAGAAGTCTCGTTCGGAAATAAAAAGTCCACGGTGACAGCCGGTGGAGAGAATGCAACAGTTTTGTTTTCAGCCATGATTTTGCTCTTCGGCAGTCAACGGCTTGTTGAAGACGCCGACGCTTAGCTCTTGTCCAGACCAGCTATGCCCGTGCGTCCACCTCAATCACCTAAGAACATAGGTTTGATAGCAGAAATAAGTAAGAGGATTTACCTAATTCTTTACGAAATGTTATTCCGATTAAAAGGGTAAACAATTCCCAACGGAATGTGACAAGGATGCACCGACATGTAACATAGCAGCAAAGTGTGCATGCACACATATTAAGCAAATTTTAATTTGCTTAATTTCTTGCTACTTTAACCGCCTGTATCATATGACTAGGTGTTTGTTTCCTTGACAATTATAAATGTATGCATCACCTGGCCGTATTAAGCAGAATGTATAACAGTAACATTATACATTCCACGCACGATTATGTTGATTTACGGATACCGGTTGTTTGTTGACAGAAAAGGAACATTAATATGACCTCTGAAAAAATCCAACCACACAAAACGTGCTCCCCCAAAAGACTCCGAAAATTTTCGTGGCTAATAAACTGCGAAGTTAGGTAATATGGCCTTGATGATAAATAGGATCATCGGTGTGCTTTGCTATTACATGTGTATTACATCCAGAAAACTTGCTGATCATGGATTTCCTGGAGATTAAATACCGCTTAGCTAGATACTTGGATTGCACCGATGTCCTCACCAAAGATATGACTCATATGATTGTCATAATCTCTTTTCTTTAAATTCACACTTACCTGGATAAGGTAACTCATAAATTTCTTTCAAAAATGGCTTTCGGGGAAAAACAACAACAGGAATTTTTATCCGTCTGTGCTGTGTCCGTGTCGGTATGGTAAACGCCCACACGTCAAGGCTGTTGTTGTTTTTCTCGGGATCAAAGCACGCGTGAAACCATGATTGTCTCGCATCAATATACATTTGTACTGAGCCATGTCAAATCCTGGTGATGCAATCGAACGAAAGTAAATGACACATGCAGTGCGTTAAAGAATCCACTGTCTGCAGAAGACACATGCGGTGTGCAATCCTTATGAACACCAGCTTGAAGAGGGTTAGAATTTTTCTAACAGTTTCTCAAAATCTTGATATATCGTAGAATAAGAATAAAGGTACTAAAATGAAACCACAGGTACAGCACGACATCAGAAAAAAAATGCCGAAGTACTGCAAAACCGAGGACTTAGCACGCGCATGTCATTGACTCAACAAGATGTTCTATTATTAAACACACTACTAGCTTAATCTGGTCTGTTGAAGAAAGAAAAAAACATACCGTTTTGTCTGCTTGCAGAGGTTACACCACTAAGAGATCATATTTCATATACATAACAGTGCTAAATCTGCAGCTTTAGACCCCCGAGGTGTATCTGAGCGTCTCAGTCAATAGATTGTCTACGCAGGCCCATCATGATCATTCCGGTTTTTCCCCTTACGTGCAGATAGAAAATTTCGACAATGCACCTACCATACACCAATCTGTGCCACGGCGCAGGGAGACAGACGAAGCTTCTTCGACGAATGAACCACCGACAGGTCTCTAAAGTGTGAGCTGCACACCAGGAGGTAGACTCTTATAAGCGCCCGTGTTTAATATGTAATTTACCGCGCACTCGCAGTTGCTTAGAACGGTACATGCACACGTCTGCTCTTATGCTAATGAAAAGGAAACAGACATAGAAGCATCCGTCTCTTCAACGACTAAATTACATGCTTCTAACAGCGGTAAGACTAATATCAGGTATTGTCGGAGGGGTCCCATATGTCACATATCAGGCTTAGTTTAATGCGATTTTACCTATTGTGTTACACGTACGTACTTCCTGAACTTGATGTAAGCATGGCTAATATATAAGGCTCATGTGTACGTGTCTAAAAACAGATAATGTACTTCTTAGTTTAAACAAATAGTAGTAAATTTTCATATCATTTCATGTTAGTTATGCGTTGCTCCTTTCAGATGAAAAACGGGTAAGGATGTACGAAAGATTTTAAAGCAACAGTTACTCTAAACTCCAAAAGAACATGTTCCTTTAAACTTAAACTTTAGTTTTATAAATACTCAATTATCCATTGGCAAGTAGATTCCAAAACACACATAAAATTATAGCAATTGATAATTCAAAACGATCAAATCGCCATATTATGCGCAAATGTGAATTGTGGAAGCTCGAACTAATGATGGAAAAACACACACAAAGTTTGCGAAGACGCCAAATCAATTTTTTCTCGACTCTGTCAGCATTTTCTGATCATTCGCTCTTAAAAGCTTGCCTTCCAAGAAGAGGCCGCTTTGAAGAGGGAACCCCATTTAGAAGCAATTACGTTTCAAAAAGGTGCATTTAAAGGGCTAACACAATCGGAGGAAAACAAAGTACTTCCGGCTGAGAAAATTAAAGACTGGCCATTTTAATGGTAGGTCGCAGCTTATTCCAATAAGCACTAAAGGAGTGATTTTCGATCCTCTTAAGGCCATGTTGATTTGATTATATGGATGACATCCACGCGCGCATGAATTTTCGGCCGTTTCCACAAAAAAAAAAGTTTTCAACCATACTGTAAATCGTACAATCGTACAACAGTTGCAAAATGAGCAAAAATATACCATAAGTTACAAAAAAAATTAATAAAAACTATACCAATGTCGTAGAATGCCAAAATCAAACGAAAAAAAAGACGAAATTGTAAAGAAATGAACTTGAAGACTAGATTATTCGCCAAACCATATTCTGTGCCATTTGCTCAACCCTCATGACTACGTAGATTTCATAATGAAAACAAGTTTTTTTTTTTGCAAAACTTTTTTTTATTCGCACGCGCGCATCAGTTTTGGGGCTCCCGGAGGATGTCATCCATATAATCAAATCAACATGGCCTAAATAGATATTCTGGAGACCTTCGGAGACGTTGTTTACAAAAATGGGGTTACATGAATTTCAAACGGCCATCTTAAGGTCGTCAGTGTCTGACAGAGATAACAGTGCGCTAAAAGCAGCTGCTTTCCACTTCAAGGCCACTCTGGCGAAAGAAACGGCTTGCATACAATTATGGTAGAGACAGTCCATACTTAGAAGGCTAGACACTGCTGAAGAAGCATACGAAAGATACCTTAACAAAGTTGCTGAGGAAATCATGTTGAAGTCCTCAATTGAGTTTGGACCTTGAAGGATATTGCTCAGTTTTAGGCGATTTAGCCAGTCTGTTGCATTCTCAGAAGCCCAGTGAGAAGCGTGGATGTCCAGGGCATAATGCCAGCTGAAGGAGGGGCTGGGGTGTCCAATATCCAGTAGATTCACGGAGAAGACTAGTTTTCAAGCCAACCCACTTCTAGAAAACTCAATAAAGTCTCCAAACAGAAACTATGCGGCTCCAGCTAGTGAAGGGTGATTGAGGTGCCAAGAATATTGGTTGCATTATATCTCCTAATATATCTTGTGTTCTCATGATTGCCTTTGGGAAAGCAAAACGTGTACAGATGCATGTTGTATTCTTGGCACAAGAATGGAGGAGCAGCATCTCTTTCTACCACATCATTGTACCAAGAAGGTGTTTTTTTACCTCCATGATTGTATCAAAGAGGTTTAAAAACAACCTTGATTGTACCATGGAGGCAAAAAAAATATTGTACTCAGTCTGGTAAATGATCACACGATGAACCCATCATTTCCCCTTGGATATGAAGAGAAACATGCAATATAAATGTCTTACTTCATACAGAGATCATGATAAGGATAACTCCCACGCTAGCTTCTTCATTACTTTGATTTTAATTGTTAGTTATTAGTCTATGTTAATGGTAACACCCCTGTGGTTGCCCGTTATAACTGTCATCATTCCACAACCTTTGAAACATAAGCCAATTACCTGTGAAGTACACATCCTTAATCATGCCCAGGAAATTGGAATTTAGTTGTGACACTTTGTTGTTCAACCATGTGTTGAAGCTGGCAGATTGCTATTAAGTGCAGAGACAGGAGGGCCAGGCCTGGATCACCTGAGGTTTGAGTTTAAACAGGTTGTGACGTACTGACGGGTTTGTGAGGAGCCAAAGGGGGCATTGCCTTTTCCAAGAAAACTGACTGCCACGTTGATGCTGAGGAGAATGACTGCACTTTCATAAAAAAGCTTTCTGAATAATACATAATGTCTTATGTATTGTGTTGTATAAGCTGTTTTGCAATGTATGATCAGCTCTTCTTTGATTGATACAAAATTCCAGTTACAGGAAACTCTCAAAAGACTGACTAGTACAGAGATACACGAAAAATTAGAAAACTAACTGTTCTAGACTAGGCATACTATATAACTTTTACTATATTATGACACACTCAAACTGCCATCTAATAGATCATTATTCTCTTTACTAGAAATTTTATACATATGTCAGGTAATATCATATCCACCCATGACAGTAGGTAATTTGGAATTTAAAGCAGAAGTCTTCAGACTATTACTGTAAACAAATGTGTGCCAGCAGGTATTCATTATAGTCAGTCATGATACATGGCAGTCAATATCCTTCCTACAACTTGTATATGAAAAGGGAAACATCTGCCAAAACCCAAACTAGTACAAATGTTTGAGCAGTATAGTTACTCTATCAGTAGCATTCAACATTTGACAAAAAATGTTTGATATAAATATGAATGTATAATTATATAAATGTTTGATATACCCTGAAAAATGGTACCTTCCAAAAAGTGGTCGGTTATTCTAATAACCGACCACTTTTGAGGTTACGGTCTGATAAATAATGGGAAATGGAGCCTTCTAATTGGTCAACGCCTTCTGGCTATATGATAATGACTATTACCTATAGATGATACAGTGAATTAACACATCAGTAAGTGATGCAATTATAACACTGTACATGTACGTTACCACAATCTGGAGTAAAAATCATCAATAACATATGATATGATAATGATATAAGAGATTGTTTGATACAAATCATAGACAAGACCACCATTGCCTAATGTGTAGTAACAGCAGAACACTTTCACTTCTCTGTTCCCTCAGGATGGCTGTCATCAGCAGCTTGTGAAGCAACTGCAATCACCTGCAACATACAGGATTTAGTTCAACACCATCACCAAGCACTTACCAAGGTGTGCTGCAGAAGTTTCCAGCTTAATCATCACAAAACCCAAGAGCCTGTGCTACCATCCATACATTAGTCAGACTTAGTCCCTAGTTCATAACATAACAGCAGCAGCAGTTTGCTATGAAAAGCCCCCTGGTGTTTGAGATCACAATATTTGCCTCCTTCTCTGTCAGAAGACTTATGTGCCATGGCATCTCATTACTGGGAGTAAGATAACTGTCTCAGTTTACCAATTACTTGTCTGAGTATGCTGGGTTGGTATACACTCATGTATATACACTCATGTATGTGCATACAGCTCATCAATCATATTTTGTGCCATCATTGTACCAAAAGGCTGACTGTTATATAATAGGGACTTTAACCAAAGTCTTGCATCTATAAAACAATGATGTACAGTGTGTAGCTGCTTATGTAAGAGCTTGTAGTCGACCTTACCTGCTCAGCTGATCTTTTACCGGCCCAGACTGCACCTTCCAGAAAGCCATATCCACGTGTGGCTGATTCTGCCCCAGCAAGGAACACTCTGCCTGCAGTAGGGTTGCACCTAAATGTACAACACAAAAGGAGTCAGAGACAGGATTAAGTTTAAAGAAGGATTACTTTTACTTTGAACCCCAACATAATTAAATTCAGATTGTCACTACTTTGATTCACTTCCAGGTTATACTTTCCAAATTTGTACTAGTTTAGAGCAAAATTGGTGACAAGGCTAATAACCATCAAATATCACTACAATTAAGGATAGATCACAAATAAACCATTACCGGCCAAAGGTCTTGTTAGAGGTGAGAACACCAGGTGGGAAATGTCCACAGAAACCTCCACCAATGTACTCTTCTTCATTCCAGTTCTTCTCCTCATAATGCAAAGGCTGTCCAAGACAATGAACATCACATTGATGATTACAGAAATATGAAATAGAAGATGCCTGCAAAGAGTCTTATTGCTAACAGCATTCCTAAGTAGGTGGCAGCTCCAACAAGTGTATTACAATAAGGAACTTAAGGAAAGTAGAATTTTTTTAGAAATTGACATTTTCATTTGTCGAGCCAGTCCACAAATAAACTGTAGGATCTGATGTGATATTGGGTTATAATCTATTTCAGACTGATGTGATTCAGTGTGTCTTTGCTGTATTGGAATTGCAGTAATGGTAGAACTCTTATACACACCTGCATGGCTTCTTCTGAAGAAAAAGCTTTGGCCAAACATTTGCAGATGGCATTTTTCCTGTAAGAAAGTAATGAGCTGAGTACTAAATGTAATCAATAAGATGAAACATGCTTTTTGTATACCATGTACTACGTTTCTGAGAGAGGCAATAGAGACCAATGTAAAGAAAGATGTTGAGAATATTTGGCAACAACTTCTCCTAGCATAGCTGATGTGGTACTTGTGATACTTAAATGCCAGATAAATCATATATTGGAAGTTGACAAAGTATTCTTTTCACCTTTGTTCCTTAGTCATCTTTCTTGCTTCAATTGCATTTCTACCTGACACTGTCCTGTAAAATGGAACAAATGTTCAAAAAGAATTGTGACATTTTCATTCATGTTCCCTGGAAATTAGATGTGTAACTGTACAGACAATGCTCTGAAGAAATTATGTTAATCGAAATCCTTTTACATGTGTCTGCCACAATAACAGTCAGTCAGCAAATTTGAGGATCTAACTTTGCTGCAATAATTCTGGGAGCTAAATGACACAGGATTCAGATTTATGGGAGTCAAAAAGTATAAAATAATGTTACAAAAGAAATGATGGCCATGAAATCAAAATTGAAGTGTTCAAGCCTACGCTGTGAATGCTGGGTACTTGTTGCCAGGAACAGTGTCGTCATAGGCATTCACAACAAGACAACCAGGATAGTCTGCAAACAGCTGTACAAATCTGTCTGCAAGATACAGGCAGCAAAAATGGTACGTCTGAAATCATTGGACTATTGATGATATAATGAAATATTAAATCTCAATAGATAACAGAGCAAATAAAGTTTTGAAGGGAAAGATCACAGTTTACCTTAAAGTTTAAAATTTGTATTCTAGTCCTGAGAAAGGTAATCAGATGTGGCTTTGGAGTAAAAAAAAGTGAAGGATACAAACAACTTCTCAACAACACATCTTAACGTTAACAACTTGCCTCCATTTCCCCAGAAGTTAGTCTTGTAGTACAGAGTGCACCTGTAGACACGGCCCATGGTGATGTGATGGAAGGCCTCAGGCAAGGCTGGCGAGAGGCTAATCTTACTATAACACGGAGGAGGGACAGCCAGGATGACAGCTTTAGCCTGCAGGACAGACGTCAGGTAGTGTCAAACTATCTCAGGTGGAATACAAAAAGGTGAGACAGTGTCACATTGATGTTTTGTTTTAACGAGTTCAATAAAGCGGTACATGCAACATACTGACCTCCCAGGTAGCTTCCTTGCTAGTGACAAGGGCTCCATCCTCCACATTCTCGACCTTGGTGATAGGACAGTTCAAGGTCACCTTGTCTCCCAACTGTTCTGCCAGAACCTTACAAAGATGCTGCATGCCTCCACTGACCCTGAACTGGGAATGAAAAAAAAATTAGAGTACGGTCAAACCTGCCTGGGCAACCACCTCTTCAACCCAACCACCTGGCCATTGTGACCACTTTTTCTCCGTGCCGAAAATTTTCCCCATTGATGCCAGCATTAAGCAACCTGCCCAGGGCAGCCACCTGGCTAACGCGACCTGGCCTGATCCCTTCTCATGGCGACCAGTCGATGGAGCCATAATTCTGTAGATAGTTCAATCAGTGGCGACATCAATTTTCAAACAGACCAGTTTGTCTTGGGTTTTGACTGCCGCGTGATGTTTTCGTCTAAGGACAAAGATGGCCATCACAAATCATTCTCAATGTAGAAGGAATGTTTGGAACATAACAAGGCGGTGTACCGTTCCATGTACCATGGCATTCATTACCATCTAAATGTCATAAACTATAAGCTGTGCATTAATCATGCTAAGGTGTTTGGTATTATATAAACAAACCAGTGGCATCGCAGCTATCAGTTAGCCTTGATCCTACTTACTCAGAAGACTAGAAGTTGATAAACCTATGATCCTTAATGCAAGATGAATATTATAATTAATCTTCTTTATACTGTATGATTAGTTATCATAGGAGTTACATGTAGCTTTTCATAGGAGTTAGCTTTTCTGTAACTCCTACACACATACATTCATATATACATACATATACATGTGCCTCTTGTTTGCATTTTTAACCAATTATCAGATCATACACATTTGGTACTAGTGTCAATGTTGGACATTACAAAGAAGAAAACTATATACAAATTACATGACATAAAAGAAAGATGAAGTTGCAGATGACTACCTGTGGTGGGTTTGGGTTGACCAGTGTTGCCCACCTCCCCCCTCCTGTCTGTCCCAGCAGCCACAGGAACCACAACATGGACACCTCCTCTGGCTCGGCACAGGCGATCGCACGGACAAACGCATCTGTGATCCTTCGCACTGACCTGGACAACCACAGCAAGGACAATCACATCATTTCTGTAACCTGTAATAGTCTGAATCGTGTGACACTGGATTATGAAACTCCACACAAATTCTTTGAAGAATTACTGTTCTGGGCAGGATATTTTTCAAGGTTTATACTACTTAACAGATATCAATGCAGAATGTGACATACTTGAACCACACAGTCCTGTCAAAGAAGTCCTTCATGGTGCAGGAGTCCCACTCCTGGGCTGACAGGGCCTCCCAGGGCTCTTCTGGTGGGATCTGAGCAACAAAAATGGTTAGCCAGCCTGTCCATGGTACTGAAGATGTTATAAAGATGTTATAACAGATACTGTAGACATCTGATCAACCTGGCTAGCCAGCCTGTCCTTGGTACTGAATGTGTTATGATGATGTTATAATAGATACTGTAGACATCTGACTAACCTGGTTAGCCAGCCTGTCCATGGTACTGAATGTGTTATAATGATGTTATAACAGATACTGTAGATCTCTGACTAACCTGGTTAGCCAGCCTGTCCATGGTACTGAATGTGTTATAATGATATTATAACAGATACTGTTAGGCATCTGACTAACCTGGTTAGCCAGCCTGTCCATGGTACTGAAGACATTATGATGGTCCAGTCTAACTAGAGGGTTCCATGTGGGAAGAGATGTGGGGTTGAACCTTGACACACCATCCTGTAATAAGACATATAAAAATGAAACAAGAATATTTTAAAATAGTACAGGAATCATGTTGTACAACATGCTAACTCAGTGGTCGAACTTTTTTTTTTGCCAAAGTGGGTCTTTCCTGTTTCATTTTAGCAGCTGTTGTATAGTACTGTGAAAGTGAATATGTCTATGAATCATTACTGGTTGTGTTTGGCAATACCTTGTTGCATCTGTACACTACACTTACCTCTGTGATATACACCATTTGGCTAGGGGACTGTTGCCAGACCTTCACTCCAACATCCTTTATCAGCTGCCATAAGGTGGACATGGGTGGCCCACAGCGAACGGCACCCTGGTCTGATACCATGCCAAGGTCTGGGTTCTAAAACACAGACATGAAGATAATTTGTTTGTATGGCTGGTGTGTGTGTGGGGGAATTTATTTACTTTTATCACTGTTTCAACATCAACCTTTTAGACAGAAACTGTTTTTACGGCAATTTCTGATATATTTTCTTGATATTTGAGAATGACATACCAGTAATTGTTAGAATGAAAAAGGGATACAAATGTATAACGAACCTCCAATGTGCACGCCCTTCCCCCAACACGACCAGAAGCCTCCACAACAGCCACATCTAAGTCGTGTTTATGTAGCAGTCTGGCAGCTGTTAAACCTACGGGTAGGCAAAAGGACTGTTACCAATTTTTTCTATAAGGTTAACTGTTACACAGTTATAAGGACATTATGTAACATTTAATGTAACGCTATTAACGTTAACGTTTTCTGTCAATTTGCTGAACAACTGTCCTATTGCTGAACAACTGTCTTTAAGAAAAATTTACTTGTATATTTTACCTTGACCCTCACCCCAGGCCCAAAAATTTTTCCCAGACCCTCCCCCTAGCGTTGAGCCCAAAAAATTTTCATTGACCCTCCCCCAAAGACGACCGGACCTCCCCCCCCCACTAAATATCGTACGGTCCCTTAAGAAAAAGTTACTTGTCACCTACGCAAAACGACCCCCATCCCGTCCACGACGGTTCCTTCAGGAATTATGTTGTCTCAAGATATCGAGTTAAGATTACTGCCCAGAAAAACAAGTTGTCAAGGACGCGCTGATAGGTGTTATAACCAGACACGCCCCCACCCGCTTCACTAAAGGGACTTACCGCTTAGCCCAGCCCCAACCACGACCACATCACAAGTGTACCTCCTCATCGCTACTTGTTCAAAAACAACTGAAAGAGTCAAAGGTCAAAGTTATGTTGTAAAGGTCTCGTACCTGGGTTTATGTAAACGTCCTTGGGCGGAAATGACCTAAAATAACCTCTCTGGTAAACATGGGATGAAGTGCAAGTTGTTTTCCTATCCTATAACCCACATGACAGTGGGGACATCTAGCGGTTTATATAAATATTGCAACATTCATTCCAGTCGTCTGTAATATTTTTAGCCGTTAGACGGAGCTTTTGAGCTGTTGAATATACATGTAGTCGTAGATAATGTGTTACTTGTGGAAGTAACGTTAATAGTTTCAAACTAGCAAATGAATTTTGAAACAGATTTCATCAACGACAACACTGTGACAGTTTCATCACTTTATTTGGAAAAAACACATTTGTAGAGAAAAAAGATTCAACAATTCATTAACAACTTCATAGTATCATCAGCATAATATTATTGAGAAATATACAATAACATTGTCTATGTCATGATTCTGATAAGTCAAAACATTTCTATCACACAGTTATCAAGGATTCTTAAGTACTTTTTAAAATGCTTTAGATTGAAAATTGTTTTGTCCAGAACAATCATTCCACTTAAAAATATAAACAGCATTGACATAACAAACAACAGAATCAAACATTTTTCAGCTTTGGTTTCCTTTTTTTCTAGAATGACATATAGAAGACTGTGCTATTTGGTATGGTAATGAACCATTGATGTGGTCAGTAAAAACTGCTACAGACTAACTGCATATTACCAATGAGCTTGGCAAGTTTGTGGTGCAGAGGTGGGTTTGTAGAATACTGTTGACAGGCTGTATTTACAGAATTGACAATAAGCTTGCTGTAAGAAAACCTTGTGTTCTTCTAAAGAAGCTTAACTGTTGCTCAAACATTGTAACTACACACATGTAATGATCATAAAATGCAGCAAGCTTTCTTTTATTCTGTGATTATTTAAGTTAATTACTTCCTTCGAATTTTAGTTGGAAATACAAAATCCTCAACCAGATCATAATTATTGAACAGTAGAATTTCATGTTATGAAGGTCATATTTTGTCTTTACCCAACTTTCAATGATCACTGCAAGCATCAAATTATAAGAGAAAGGTCAAATTGGACTTAATAACTGAAAGATTAGCACCACAAATTATTCAAGGGAGAAACTGAATGTTCATCCATAGATGATGGTAAATTCCGCACACTCGTTTGTCTGTGACCCTACCCCAAAAAATTGCTAACAAGTATATAGATAAACAAGCTAACTTTGAAAAAGATTTCAAGTTCATATTGAGTTCATATTATACACACTGCAGTCTGTACAGTCATGATTGTCAGTGGCATGAAATGGTAAACAACGACACAAGCCTACATGAGCGCAACTTTCCAAAATGGAGTCACCAACAGTGGTCAGGAGAACATGTACCACTTTTATGTAGGAGCTATACATAGAAGCTGTAAGACTTAAGTACTGTTATATAATCTTCTACATGGCATCTACAACAGTTACTGCCTGTCTGTGTCTCAATACATAAACTGCAGTGACACTTTTTGTTCTGAGGCCACATACCAGAGACTGTGTGAGTGTGATAAGCACAATTCTTATTATACATGTTAACTTTACAAAAGTTGTTATATTACAAGAGGCTTGGGTGTGTCCTATGGGCAGACAACTGTACAAGCTTCACATTCTAGTCATTATAACATGTACATGTGCTCGAGTATTAAGGTCTTCTGTAGTCAGCATGACTGTCAATTACTAGTATCTGAAAATGAGCTGGGGAATATAGGTTCCCTCTGATTGTTAGGTAGCAACACTTAAGTCAGCGATGTTCTATCCTAAACTACAGATATGTAGTGGCTTAGGTAATGTAAGCCATCTGCACTTCTCATTACTACAGCTAGATGGCATTACTGTGACAGATTTGCCACAAACTTTGGTACAATGCTACTGAACATGAAATTGTAGGAGTATCTATTATCAGCCACAAACTGTTGTCTTTTGAAAAGGAAACACTTTTTCTACAGGAAAGAGCTGATTTTGGTATGTCATCTATAGTAGACATAAGTAGACATTTGGAATTTGATAAAATAACTTCAAACTAGTTCACTAATTGACATGCATGTATATAATTGACATTAAAAACAATATTAAGAACAGCTATCATTACATTTAAAAAATACACCCTGTTTAGTGGAGTACAACCATGAAAGTTTCTTAAAAGATACACATTGATTTTTTATTCACTTTGGTCTTTTCTTCAAACCCTATCATGATCCGATTGGTATATGAAATGCAGTTATCAACACTAACTTTTTGATGTCAATTAATATTAAACAAATGTCAATGCATAACATTAAATGTAAAAGACACCATCATTAAAACCAAACAAATATTTACAAAAATTCAACCTTTAACATTTGAATTTCATGTCTTGTCCTAAATTATGGGATTAATTTCGTCACGCAATATCCATGTAGGTTGAATACATTTGCTTGTCATATGGGCACTCCTTTTTCACTGTTTCTTTATCAGGTACAGTACCCTTTGCCAAATCTATTATGATACATGTAGTTTTAAAAAATACTACACATAAAGTAGTAATTATCTCAAGTATATCATTCTTCACTACTACAGTTGATTACCAACAAAAATGATTTCTCATTATTTTGGCCGAACTTAAGATAATTTGACTAATCGGCACTAAAAAGGAGATTCTAAAGCTTTAAGTCGTCACAATTTCTTGAATCAAAGCTAAGCCATACTACATAATTTGTGATTGACTGAAGAAGAAGAGCAACTGTAATTTAAAGTTTCTTGGAAATCTGTTCCCATTGATTCAGCATTTTTGGATAAAATGTTCATCACAACAATCCCTAATGTATGAAAAGAAGATATGAATGGAAATTTGACCGTTAAGGCATGTTGTGATACTGAAAGGCATAAACGGCACCCATACAAGTATATCTTTCTTGTCTGTTTTCTGATAGTAGATGGACATACCGGCTAATTAAAACAATTAAAAATGATGTTTAACTGACCATGGGGTTGTAGATTGACCACTCAAGAAATGCAATAAAATGGGGAATGTTATCAAAAAAAAGTTACCCATAGTGGAATGCGGGTAAGAAAAGGTTTGGTCCACAACCCTGCCTGTCTCTCTACATGGAAGAGTCCTACTGAAGGGAAGGTGAGATTGTAGATGGCATGTGTAGAACACCTGCAGAGTTGGACATGTTAGGGAGCGGCGGGCTGCCCCTCCTGTGTCTCTGTCGCCTGTCCTGCCGCCGCCCTGCTCTCCTGGGAACTCAGCTGCAGCTTCCTCATGTGTCTCACCACTGCCGTGGCATTGAACGCTTGCTGCAACAATAAAACACAGAAAACAGAGTCAATACATTGTCAAGTACAGCATTTCTCTGATCTCAACATTGTGTCTCACCACTGCTGTGCCATCAAACACTTCCTGCAACAACGTAAGATACAAAAATGAGGGGAAAAAAGACCCTTCTCTGTCAAATGATATTTGACACTATCTGAATGTTCAACAATATAATTGAGCAACAAGTTCAAATCTACAGGTTTCAATACACTTCAAGCCAGTCAATCGTCAATCCTGTATACAACACATGATGATACACATGTAGTCTTACATTATGCAATCTCATCTGAGCTTGCAGTTGTGAAAGCCCTGAAGCCAGCTAATATCTAGCTGCTGCATACAAGGATATCAAGACATGCCAGTGGAGCAAGTTATCTTGTAATAAGGCTTTTATCTCACCTGATTGTACCATACTAAAGGCACTGAACCTTGAGGATGTTAATGTCAATGCCACAAAGGCATCACAACCCTGTTGTACAGGTAATTCTGCATGGGAAAGGTTATTGCTGATACTGTTAAACATACCATAGGCTTAATGGTTATGACTTCATTTAAATTCATGACCACAGGGGCTGGAATCTGGGGATAATGACGAGTTTCACCAGACATGTGATGCTGCTCTCCCGTGTAGCATGATAAAGACCAGGTCCGTGACTCTTGATCGCCTACAACGTTATTATGCCAGCGGAAACTGTTCACTACATCCATATGCAATGGTACATTAACTTCAAAGAGAAGGCATCACTTTCTTGGAGAGGTTGACCTTCAATATGCGACAAACTTGACACCAGAAGAGCCTGGGGGAAAGCTTGTTCTGACACTTACACACATTTACACGCTGGATTACTCTCTACAGATTCACTCCTGGGCGGTTACAGTTTCACTTGCAAATACATGTGATAAAAATAGCTTTTGATCTAGCACTACATAAATGCATCGTCACTGAAATTATGGCCTGTGAATGTGATATTACCTTATGCAGTTTAATTCCAAAACATTTTGTGCTGTAAGTTAAATACATCAGTTTCAGGAATTACAGTTCCCATCCAAAAATGATAGGCTGAGATTAGAAGCAATAACCCACTGGTCCAGACTTAATAGGGAGTAATGTGCTGTATTTCCTCTGATTCCAAAAGTCACTGCCTGGTTCTTACAAGAAAAACAGCATGTCTGCATTGAACCATGACCTTCTTGTGGTTTGTGAATTTCAAAGCATTGGTTTGGTTCCGCCTGGCAGGCATGAGACATCATGTAAGAACTCAGGCTAGCGTTTAATGGGTCCATTACTAAATTTCCTGGAGTCATCAAACATCATGGTTGACTTCACATGTCTGTATTCTGGCATGTGATTGGCAGGAAGTGAGAATTCACTGCTCAACACTCAAAAGATACATCAGACTTTACACAACTAGAAAACATTACTGAACAAAAAAAATCACACAATCCACATTTCACATTTCCTGTTTTGGCAAGCTGCCCAGAATCATATGACTGCTGGGGATGTTTCTTCTGAAAATTGTTCTTCTATCATGGTTGCTATCGTGTACCGAAGCTCACTATAGGTGACTATTACCGGTACTACATGTACTGTTACACCCTCCCTCCATATACACACCCACCCACCTACATGTTCAGAAGACTACTGGGCATTACAGGTTCCCCCACACAACACTAACTCTGTCTGCCACCTGTACATTACCACAGGTTCCCCCACACAACACTAACTCTGTCTGCCACCTGTACATTACCACAGGTTCCCCCACACAACACTAACTCTGTCTGCCACCTACACATTATCACAGGTTCCCCCACACAACACTAACTCTGTCTGCCACCTGTACATTACCACAGGTTCCCCCACACAACACTAACTCTGTCTGCCACCTACACATTATCATCACAGGTTCCCCCACACAACACTAACTCTGTCTGCCACCTGCTGCACAAAACTAACCTGTACTTTGTGAGCACCACTTTCCCAGTAGCCGCCATGTGAGTGTTTTATCCACCCGTTTCAGAACCATCAATCTCACCAGGACATTGCCACTTCCCCAAAGGCTACTTCATAACTTTGTTTGGCACCATGAAGAGTGGAAGAAAGTTGATCTAACAGCGACTGACTGAGGCTTGTAAATGGATTTCTGCCTTAGGCATAATCTATCTGGAGAGCTTGTCTTCTTTTTCCTGTCTGACAATATTTATGCTATGATGAATTAAGGTGTGCAGTAAAAAGGGAAGTAGAACTTGGGCTAAAGCCAACACAGCAGGCAGGATTTGTGGGGCAACAAGACAGTAATATTACGTCTCTCTCACATCACGGAACAATGTGTCAGCCTTGCCAAAAGTTTTGAAACAGGACACAAAGGGAAATACCTTGAAATTTCATTTCTTGACAAAATATTAATCTCTGCATGCTACTGAAGTACTTGATATTAACCTTTGGGCTATAACATGCAATAAACTTGATAAATGATATTTAGAGTATGGTATTGCATTGAAATTCCTCAATGTTGATGATAACAAATTTACTCACAAAACAAATTTTCCCCCAAGCATTTCTATGCTCTTTACCAAACAGAAATTATCCTTCCAAACCTTATCCCATTAAGGGCTGCGTTCAGGACTGTTAGTATTAGAGAATCAGACTGTGAAAAATTCCCAATTTCCTCTTTTGTCTGAACTCTCGATCCCAGTGTGATACCAGTATCTTAATATTTGCTTTTTTCTGCACACCATTTCCTGTTCTTGATTGTATAGATCTCAATGTATCTGCAGTGGGAACGTAGGACATACTAAGTGAACCATGTTTTTTCCAAGGTAACTTGAAGACAAATCGGGTAGGGAGGGGTTATAATGTGTTCAGATGTTTGATTTTGACTATTTTTATGATAAAAGTTTGTGAAGGTCTTTTTCTCAAGTTATTGTTCTGCCTTTCTGTAATTTAACATTGCAAACAATTTTTCATCACCTTCATTCTCCTTTACATATGATTGTTCCACTGTTTGTCATTGTTTGTGATTGTTACATATTTAGGATATGCTGTTCCACAGTCAAAAGCATCAAGAAGAAAACATAATGATATTTATAATGAAGTTGCTGCTCGTACAAGCCAATGGAAGGTTGCTGCTCCAAAAGTACAAGCCAATGAAAGAATGTAATGAGCATAAATGCCCAACATCACTCCACTTAGAGAACCTTGAAGTTCATTGACATTAAGACACAGAACCACAAGAAAGGATCAGTTGGAAAAGAATGATAAAGGTAAACTTGGTGATTTCCATACTGCAGCTACCCATAATACTTCGTGTTTTGGATAATACCATCATTCTGTTGCTTGCGGACCCTTCTGCCCCTACATGAATCACCACGACATTCCAAGCACACCCCAATGGCTGGATGGGAAGCCGGGGTGGCAGGGAGATAAAGCCATTTTCCATTTTGCTCCACTAACGTCATGAATACGAGCAGAAAGAACCGTGGCTATGTCAATAAATCCGACATGAATAAGCACTGTGAAGATAGTATCTCAAGAGTAGGAACTGTCTACTGGACCAATCATGCAGAACTTGTCACACAGTAGCCATTAAGGAAAAGAAAAAGATTCTCTTTTACCCCATGACTTACCCCTGTGGTTGATTGCTAGGATTGAAGCTACAGCTTGGGTTAATGCCAGGACATTTGTTGGGAATATTGGGTGTTTTCGTACCCAGTAGAGATTTGGTTTGCTTTTACTGCCTTTATAAAATGTGCATTATGGATAAAGTATGGCTTCCAGATTCGCAACGGGTATAAGTCGTACGTGGGAATACAATTACTTCAGAATAGAACTGACAACGATAACTGAGAAAACACTAAATCCGAACAAAATGCTATCTTTATGATAGTGTGTGCAGTGCGTGAACTGAGCCTCAACGGTACATTGTACCAAGTTTTATATTCTGGTTGCGGGTGATGACATGTCTCCCACAATATCCTAGCACTTCTTCATGACTGCTTTGACTTAAAAACAAAGTAAAGAGAGAAAAAGTTGCCCAACTTGTCAAAGGTATCTCCAATCCTCACCATCTCCAGTGTTGAAATAAGATTACTTGAAAATGCAATTACATATTGTACCGCCCTGTCTAGCCAATTTCAGCAGATAGAATGAGATACACCTGTAAGGTCAGTATGTACGTATAGATGGTTTCAAGATTGCTGTGGGTTCGTATGCTGCCCAAATATCAAGAGTGGAACTTTTAATAACACGGTCTGTTGATTCCACCTACAATACCCTCAAGACTGTCTGGTTGGCAAGTTTTGAGTCAGGATACTCCTTCTAAATCTGTCAAAATTCTCATAAATCTACATGACCTGGGCATGACCAAGCTCCTTATTTCCCAAGAGGTACAACATCATAAACTTTCATTTCTAAGATATGCTGATAATCCACCACCTCAGTTTTTATGACTTTCTCAGCTGGTGGTCTCTTGAGCTTAGACCAAATCTTTTAAGACAAGATATTGCCTTTTATACATCCCACAATACCTGAAAATGTAGCCATCTGGAAAATCTTGATCTACCTTAGATTCTTACAATGGCTCATTTTCCACAGATTGACAATATCTTTTGATTGATGTTTCCATGCCTACATGTATCTCAATCTAGCATTCATGATCAAGTGGTTCCACTTAGGCAGCTTTGAAAACAGATTCGATAAAGTCTGACGTGAGTGTATAAATCTTAGGGAACAAACTTTGAATTATTACCTTACAGTATAAATATAATAACAGCTTTCTGTTAAGCTGACTTTCGACTACATTTTGCACACCATTTTTTTACACACACTGAAATGACGACACTTAAAGGTTTTTTTCTACACTTAGTTGTATCTAGTTTAATGCTAAGAAAACCTACCCTCCACTTCTTCTTGGCAAAGTTTTTCTTCATCTGTGCACTGACAGACTGGTGGATGTCCTTGTCTCGAGCTGTGTTACCTGAGATCCTGGGACAAAGAGAGAGAAGGAACAGCACTGCAGTAAGATTCATACATTCTAGCATATACATGCACAGCCTGACTATTATCAGTTTATCTGAAGATATTTACTTTTATACAGCTATTCACTTTTTAAAATGTATGAAGATTTGAACAGTTACCCCCAGCTCCTCACTCTATTCCTACTGAATCCTAGTCTCATCAGTTACAGAGTCTCTTTATCCTGAGTGTGTTCCTGTCATTGCTCAACCCAGAGCTTGTTGAGTTCTTTACTTTGCCAGTAAACTTTAGAGATCTTCAGGATGACATGACAAGCTGATAGTACACTGTGTGCAGGGACCAACAAAACACAGCTTGACGTCATTGATAAATATCTTTAGACAGGCGAACACAGCTTTTTTCACAAACTCGTGCCCATAGGTAAATACTATCTTTAGCACTATGTGTTTCCTAAAGGACCCTCAAAGAGAGCTCTTACATATTAGGGATATCATGTAGAAAGGTTTAACTCTTATCATGCTGAATTGCATATTATGTACCAGAGCCAATGTGCAGTATAGGAGAAACCTAACACAATGTTACTAAGTGCTCTATATGTTAGTAAGCATGCCTCCTGTAATTTCTGTCCAAACACTCTGCTATTCACCATTACACCCTCTCCTCACTGTTCTGATGGAGTTGTTACACACATTTCTGACAGTAGTGCTTTTATGCAAAACAAATGGTCCCATTTCACTATTCCCTGCCTCATCCATTACCAACATAAGCTACATCCTTTATCCCTGCCTTATTAGAAATTCCTGGTTTCAATTTCAAGGCAGCCTGCAACTTTATGATAACCCTGGTGTCATGTCAACAGTCCATCAAAGTCTGCCAGTTTGGAACATTTCAAAGCTACCTCAAGAATGACTACTAGCTCTAGGGCTGACACAAATCTTTATGTTAAGGATAGATTCAGGCATGTTTTATCTATAGTAAAGCTGGGTAACTGTATTCCCCCAACACCTTGCAAAAGAAATTCATCAGTTCAAAAGTTCAGCATTACTGCTCAACTCGAGGTATGACTGAGAGGCACTGGTGCTGTAGCAAATCTCCAGATGTTTCTAGTGGTGTCTGTTAAAACAGCCTCACAGCTAATTACATACAGACTTGCCATCTGTTCTTATTTCTGCCTTTCTTCTTAGGGGATAATGTACTGTCTGCAAATGTCAAATTTTTGCCACTTCGGGAGGATCAAAACTACAAGAGACTTTTCAGTACCAGGGACAGGTCTAGCTAATGCCTTAACGCTTTTTGATTGCTACAAATAAGGACATTTTGAAGCACTTACCATTTGCAACAAAATGAGAAGAACACAACCTTCATTCCAACAAACAGGACTAGTATTTCCATATATATATATATATATATATATATATATATATGTATGTTCTAGTATTGTAAACATTGCTGTATATTACTATATTCATAACTGTTACATGTAGTTCAAGTAAGTCTTACCAGGGGTGTGATATGGCTTGGCTGCAGTTATACCTCTTCTTTACATCTATTTCTAGCAGGTTGTTGATGAAGTCTTTGGCTGTTGGGAGGAAGGGCAGGCAAGAAATGCATCAAATACATAGAATACCATCTTGGCTGTAATTTAACATACACTATACAGAAGAAGGTGAAATTATTATTGTAATTCCCGTCTACACTGAGGTAATCTTTGACCTCTGTCCTAACTTCCTGCCCTCCTAACAAACAGGGCGATCCAAATATGGAAAATTGATTGTCAAGTGCAGAGGGGAGATGACCTCTGGCCCCCGGGGTTCTGCCTCCCCCTCCATTACAGGTAATGATGATGGTCCCCGCTGGAGAGCAGGCGAGTGGACCGAGCCAGGCCGCCCGAGATAACAACTAATCAATAACATTTCCGGAAAACAGGAGAGAGGAAGATTCCATCCCAGGCATTTCCTTACATAGTACTTCTGCTGCATTTTCTGTTCCTTGACCTTAGTAATGTGACGCTCAACAGTTTAACATAGAGAAGAAAACTGGGTTTGAAGATATAAATAATGTGTAAAAATTGCCACCGTTTATGTTTGAAATTTGGCAATTTTCCTTGTTGTAATCAATCATGTAAATCATTGATACATATGCATCAATTTGTCGGCTATGTGTTCCTTACCTGCTTTTTTTAGAACTGCAAAACGATCGAAAACATTATTCAGCGACTGTAATGCCACAGTATTTGGAACATTTCCACAGAATAGCTAATAAGTATGCATAATAAAAACAACTGGCCTTTTTCCATACATCACTTCACAGCAAAACTTTGATATCACAGAACAAGGGGTAACCTCTATGGCTGCCATGCAGTCAATAAAGTGTTATTGGGAGGAAAGGTTAGAAGCCAGACTTGTTGAAAGCCTCCATGGGGGAAGTATTGATGTAGATGGGGAAACAACTTCCTGGCATAATTTGACATGCCCTATCATCCACAGGGCCTAATTTATATGCAAACACTCGACTCAATCTATTCAGATGTAATCTTTCATCAAAGCCCCATGGTTTCTTAATGGAAGACTAAAGGGAGGGTCTCAAAACAGACATTTATTTCACTGGATGCACGATTACAGATACAAGTTCAGATTTTTATCACAGGTCACTATGTTTGAAAAAGACTACTAGAACTACAGATTCCTAGTGACTTTAGAAATCCAAAGAGACCCCTATGAAAGTATAATTATGATTGGATGCAAACAAATGATAATTATTGATCTTGTTATTAAGAAGATTTCTCAGACAGCACTTACCAGAATCTGAGATGTCATCCCAGTAGGGCGTATCATACTCAAACTCTCCTTTTAATGATCTGTTTGAAGAGCTGTGTGTCATCCTCATCATAGAATGGGGGATAACCGCACAACCTGAATCAAAAGAGGTATCAACATAATGATTATACATAAATTAGAATGAACAATTAATTTAAAGATCTGATAATATAGCTGTACAAGCCAGCACTGACAAAATACATTCATAGGTAATGTTACTTTTATATATTGTTACCTACCTTACGTTGGAAGCTTATCGATTTGACTGAATCATATTCTAGTACCATGATGATAAAAGACAAAATAATTTACTAAGGTTGCATCTTTTATTTCAAGTACAACAGGATATGAAATGTATACCTTTCGACAAGTTTATTGTATATTTTACAGGTTACTTTGAAGCTCTATCAATAAAATGCTTCTTTTCCTGACCTTACTGCTGCTTTTTTTGCATGGTGCACATGTACTGTTCCACACAGATCACCATATAATGGTTAAATGACATATTCATGCCTGCAAGGCCTAACAACAACCGTGTAATGAGTGATGATAAAAGCCTAAACGTGTGTTTCCCACAGGGAGCACACTCTGATAAACATACATGTATCTGAATGATTTATCCACAGCAAACAATACCAAGTATTTATAAGTATTTTCTAATGAAGTCAAGTGTGCTTGTACAAATCACAAGATGTACAAAAGTCATATGATTTTATTATCTTAAATCATGAACAAAGACAGTGACATACTAGCAGACTAGTTACCTCTAACCTAAACCTTGAGATAAAGTAAAAGTAATGCCGATTTAAATTTCATTAAGAAAGATAAGCTTGTGCGGATCGTTAGGATAAGCCCCTGGGAGCTAAGTTAATGAAAAAGAGACGTGATTTGTGGCCTTGAGTTGGCATCATGCTGACAGCGATGATTGGTTATAGCAGTTGTAAATTTTGTCGTATTGACAATGCTATCTGTACAGGCATGTAATTATGTACTGCTTGGAATTGATGGTCTGTATTAAGAAGTTAGAAGGGTATGACAATTTTTCAATAACACAATAATACAGTGATTTGTGACTGATCCATTGTGTTTGCTTGAATAGTTTAGCTGAAATGTTTGTCAGAAATCGTCTGTGTATCTCTTTCTAAGAGGCCCAGGCTTTCAGTAGTATGTCAACAGACATATAGATGTCCTACTGCAGTTCAGTTTCCCTTAAGATACAATCATTATCACATTCCACGGTATATGAACCCTGTCTGGACTCCTCAGCCTGAGTACAGAAGTAGGCTGAATGGAGAGATCATATCACTCTTCTCCATTCATCTACCTCAGGTTGATTTGTATGGGGTGAAGGTTGCAGTATCTGTGTTACCTCCCCTTTAGAAAAAGAAGATTGGTACATACAAGTCTAGCCAGAAGCTGGCAGGCACCCAGGAATCAAAGCTACCATTCTTTACATCTAATCTCCTAATTCATCATCATTATTACAGATATGTCATTGGGACTTTGCCCAGATGATGATGGGTTCAACTTTATCAGCAGATGTTGTTTAATATACATCAAAGCCACACTGCAACCTTGAAGGCTGAACAAATTTATTTCTCAGGAACTTGGAACAATGTCACAGAAGAAAACTGATGGAAAAATATTCCTGTTCAAGTCTTAAATGTAATGTACATTTGCATGAATGGTCCAGAAATGAAGACAGGATTATTCTCTATGGCTATGTGCCTGTTTGTGCGTGCACGTACAAGGGCTTGACAAAGTAGTTGTACTTGGTTTGTGATGATATTTGGTTTGTGGGTAGATGTTGCAATCCCAAAGTCATGCGTCGTGGGCCTCCTAAGGAAGCACCTTATCTCATGTTTGACGTATTTCCTTTATTCTTACCATTACATGCCAGTTTTCTCATATATGTATGCATCTCAATGCAGCTTCACAGGATGAAGAAAGCTTGCACAATATGAATTAATACAAAATGACTGTATTCCCAAGTTCACACGTGTAGCTTAGTCGTATGACCTTGCAAGACAATCTATGTAGATAGTGGAGGGAATATACAGTTTTCCTATCAAATTTATACCTCAGGGTGAAACACCCACACCC